TGTTTTCAATTAGTTTGTCGAAAATGCTTTGAAAAAATATATTATAGACCTTGAAAATGCAACAGAAACCAATGTATCTACTCATATTTTAATACATAACAAATATGGAGTTACATATCTACTAATGAGGTAAAGTTTGTATAACCCTCAATATTATATTGGTGTGGTCTAAACTTACCAGAACTGCCAAAATTTATTCTGCATATTTGTGTCTCGATGACACTTTTTCACAATTGTTTTCATGTTTACACTATGGAAAATTGGTTGAATTGTCATATGATCATAGCATAGAATTGAATCAGGTGAACCAGATAACCAAAATAAAACATGTTGACATTTTTCTAAAGAACTAAAAATAATAATTAGGACACGATAGATTCAAGATTTTAGAGAATTGATTTTTTAATACACACAGTGATAGCCTTTGAATAATGAGTTTATAGAACTTACATTCGAATTCGAACATTGTACAATAATAGATTTATTTTGAATTATACATTGAAGAAACAGATATGCGAATCCTCCTTTCTATTCTCAGATATGATTTTGTAGTGTATTTCTCTTGTTTGGACCTAGTTGGTAGAAACAGAATTCAAATGGTTAAAAAAAATATGGACTGAGAAAATAAATTATCACGTTTCTGAGAAAATTGAGAACTTAAATTGGTTTAAAATTTCTGTTGGTTTTAAATAAGATTTTTGTAAATTTTGTAAATAAATTAGTGAATCAATCCAAATCTACATATCTCAAAAACAAAATAGTTTTCAGATCCAAAATCTCCATAATCTAGATTACTTATCTCTGGCTATGCCTTCCCACTCAACAAGTCTTTTCTACATAAACTTTACATATGTCAGTTTTTCATTTCAATGCACTACCTTTGGAAGTTAGAAATACAAATATCAGAATTTAGGGTAGCACTTATTTACTTGATATACATATGTTAAGCATGAGATACAAATAGATAGTTTGGTATAATGTAAAAATATGTTATATTTCAAATTATTACTGCACAACGGCTACCGAGGCTTTGAGCTAAATCTCGCCTTTTGTAGTTTATAGTAATTAAGACAATTATTATTATATTACATATACATAATATACAAGCAGTTCCGCTTTGAATCGACACGTTATAATGATTTGAATTCAAAAAAAAAACTGAATGAAATGGCTAATTGTCTAGCCATAAACATAATTAGGAATAATTGGCAATTGGTTGGACTTGTCACGTTATTTTATGCATGTACGCAACTGGCGAAAAAAATTGTTTCAGGAATTATTATGTGGGAGTTCTTACATTTTCTACTATTTATGATTATAAATGCCGTATAAAAACTGTCAGTTTACCCCAACTAACGGAATACAATTTTTGTATTACACTAATGCTTATGGTTGATATTTATACACCCATTGCTACACAAACAATAAAAGCGTTTCTTTCTTGTTACTGCAGTGACTCAACTTATTCTAAATTCCATTCACCCATAGCTATTGTTTTTCATAAAGTGGCTCAACTAAATTTATACTGCATGTGTGGCACACGAAATTCACTAAACAGGAAACTAGTCCGCGACAAGTAAATCTATGACGAAAAATATACAAGCAGTAATAAAATATTCTTATCGGATGTTGGATCAAGAAGGGAAATAACCCATTTTCACTCATATGCCTTTATTTTTAGATATTAATCTTCCTATTTTTATTTGTATAACGAACGCCGCTAACCATTCTGGACAAATATAAAATGAATCATACAGTGCTTTTCAAAAATGTTCTCCCACCATTCTTATTTTTTGATCGGGTTCATCTAGAAAGTTGAAATTTGGGGAAACGAAATTGATGCATAGATGCTATATTTAAGCTTAACAGTGGATTGGATTGTACGGTCTAACATAGAGTGTTTCAAACAATGTCTTTTCTTAGAAAAGTGCTGTCCAATAAAGATGTACTTTTAAAATAGAATACTCAGAATACTCTATATATTTTTTGTCAAAATGATATTACTTTTTACCTGATTCCAAATATGCATGATTTAATATACTTGTTTTTATTGATTTAGAACATGGGCTGAAACGCGCGGTCTGTCGGGTCTCGGCTTAAGGCTCGCGACTTGAGAGCCGTATCATCAGACGTTCCTAAAATAAATTATAAGACTCCTTAATGGCCTCCTTGAAAGGATGTATTTCATGCATGAGGGCGCGCCCACTGATTTGTGTTGCAGCAACAAAATATTTAAATCACCAATTCAATAATCGATGGGTAAGAACTGGAGAACCCAAAGCATGGCCCTCTAGGTACCCAAATTGAAATAGTTTGGGATTTTTCTTATGGGGGCATCTTAAAAGTCTCGTTTACCTCACCCCAATAAACATTTTAGGAGAGTTTCCTGCGATTTAATAAGGAATGCTGGAGGTATTTATTGTTTATACACTAGTCAGAAGCAGCAGCCATTTACAGTCGGGACTACAAAAAAACATAATTATTTCATAGTACAAGCAAGAGTTGATAGTTCAAACACAAAGATGCTATTTACAAAATAATATAGTGCAGACAAGAAAGCAAAAAAACAGACAAAATAGCGAGTGGCAATATGAAGAAAAGAGCTTAAGTGTGTATCCTTCAAGGAGGAGGGCATTTTCAACAACTTATCTAGTTTTTATGTTCTATTTTTTTATAAAGGTTGTTAGTTGTTCACAGACAATTTATAATTTTGTTAAAATTATTAATAGCAGGATCGTTTTTTTTTTTTAATGAAAATCGTTTTGTTGTTAAAGAAAAGTGTAAATCTAAAATTATTTAAAATTGAGCAAATCTAACAAAATCAGTTACATCTGTGGTTACGATCACTGATTGGTAACTAAAGGTCAGATTCTATCTTTCGCAAAACAACAAATTCTTGGTCCAATGCCTACATCATGCCGACGAGTTGCCAAGTAACACGAAACAGCTGTCCATGGTTGTCTGTCTGTGGTCAGACGAAACCTATATAACTATAAATGGTCCTAAATATTATAAAAAATCAGTAGCACGCTACTGTATGTTCTGAAAATAAAAAAAGACATATGTATTCATTTAAGAGCAGATTTGATCTCTCGCATTTTTTTACCAGACGCATGGTTTTGACCTAAAAATATAAAAACTATTTCTCTGCATGGTGATATTGTCATTTTAACGATATTGTTATGACCATCAGGAGAAACGGTAAACATTTTTTAAGCGAAAAGCGTGTATCGGATTAAAAAAACAAGCGATCAAATTTGCTTACGCCACTGGTGGAAATTAAAAAAATGTACATTCATAAATGCCTTTATACATAGTACAATGTATGACAAATTTCATTAAAACATCTAAAATTGTATTACAGATATGTAATAATAAATTATTTATTTTTGATACTTTACCACCCTGTACGTCGAAAGTTAAGACGTTAGGACATACGTTCATATGAAGTTTTCTTCTTAAAATGAAATCTGCATAAAATAGATATTGGGGTCGATTATACTTTATATAACCTGGTAACATATCCCCGGGCTTTTAGCAATGTTTATTACGAATCAAGGATCTATGTTTTCATTTTAACCATTTTGTGGTAATCGGAATCGTGGACTTATAACACTTAGAACCACAATCGCAGAACTTCTATTCTCTATAAAACGATTACCCTATGACGTCACATAAAGTAATAATTGGTTTTACAGCGGCCTAAAATTAAATTGGCACATTGCTGTGGGGGCGTTACTTGACTTGAATTCTTCTTTAATGAACGCTATTAACAAATGCGAGAGGTATGCGTTTTATGAATTAAAGTACAGTATTGGACAAAAGCATGTACGACAATTTAATGTAATTATGTATATCACTTTAATGAGGTACGATCAAGATATAACTAGATGAGTTGGGGCACGGTATACTGAAAGATGAAGTGTGTCCCAGAACAACAAGCCAATCTCTTGCATATATGAGTAATATCAAAATAAATAATGGCACAAATTTCTATAAAAAATATTCCATGATGCTCCTCTGTGAAAGTACACGTCCTTGAAGGAAGCTTCTCTATAATAATTTTTGAAAAACAATGTAGAGTTCAACGAATTTTTGACAGCTTATTAATTATTTGGGGTCAAACATGATGGTATCCATGGATAACAATCAACTCATGTATAGCTAGGGATGGAACAACTCCAACGCGATATTGCTAATTTTTTACACCCAACGCCAACATTTTTCGAAAGCAGGAAAATTCAACTTTGTTTGACATCCATAACATGATCCGTTTTTGATAAAAAAACATCCTTTTTCCGGTATAGTTCAATTAATTTAATTTAATAACAAATTCTTAATAAGTGACCCGTAAAAGCTGGATGTACATTTTCAGATCACTTGATTAAGTTTGAGTTGAGATTTAAGTAAACTTCTTTGGGCAGTCTTTACAGTGTAAATCGATGGGAGTTTATTGATACCATATAAGAGTAAATTTCTTAGGCTATTAGGTCAGGCTTTCCAAAAATGTTATCTTTGGGTCAATGTAGCACAGGTTGTAGGAAAAAATAGCAATATTGCATTGGAGCTAGTCCGTTCCAGCTATTAAAATGAGTTAATTATTTTTCATGATCATCATCATGTGAGGTCAGAACAAAAGTTGCGAATATTATGGGAATCAAGATGAAATTATGAACACAGAAAATCCTGGAAAACGTAATTTGCATCATATCTTTGTTATTTATATCATGTATTTCCATTTTACAGAATGTTACCCTGACAATGTGATACTCAATCACTAAAGGAATTGTCAACAGTAACTGGCAACATTTTTTGTGTGCTGTCTATCTAGCAGTGTGTATTTTGTCAAGTTGGGGGAACAAGGGGATCAAGCCACATATTAAGACTCGCTGCTTCAGTTGGACAATTGCTGTGTTGCTCTTTACACTTATAGTACAGGAGCTGATGATAAGACACTCTATATAGAAAAGTGTATGAGGTCAAATATAATTAAAACTTACCTCATGTTGAGTTATGTCCCAGGATTTCCTAATCTCCGGATTGTTGTAGTAACTATGCATTGTAGAATTGAGATTTTTCTCCAACATAACCTCCACTTCATTCTTCTTAATGTATCCCACAAGTCCAACAATAATTTCCAAGATTAGGATAGCCACCAGGAGAACAATGAACTGAAATGGATAAGCTTGTTTTATTGAAAAACTTTGCAGTCTTTGAAGTATAATGTGATTATTTCTCGAAGCACGTGAGACAGTATAAGCCATTCCCGTCGACCTCTTTTTTCTCTTTCACAGAAGATACTACTACAACAAAAATAAGCTGTATAAATTTTAAAAATGGGGCCAATGGCAGTGGAGCGAGTGTTAAGGTTACAAGGTTACGACAATAGCAAGGACAAAAAAGCTTTGTAGTTTTTGAAAGCAACTCCAGTGGTGACATGGTTATTAAACACCAAGAAAAGTGGCTGTTTTGATTGTAGTGGTGGGAAAGAGTAAATCTAAGCATTTTAATGAATATTTACCATATTTCGTGTGAAACTGGAAAATATATACTTCATAAAAAAAGGCGTCAAGTAGGATAACTTTGCACTTCCCACGTAACGCTCTTATCAGTTCCATAAAGGCACAAACAAGACTCTCTGAGAAAAAAATCAGTCAAACAGGTACATACAAATAGTCCATAGACATTCTGTCCCTGTCCTAAGGGTAGTGCATCTGGAAACGTCGCCTCTCCCTGATACCTAACTTGGGCAGTCGTGGCACCGTAGTAACGGGGTCAGAGCATAGAAAACACTATGTTGTTGCGCGACAGAAATACGTGTGATTCCATCCAAAACACTCGGTCGGACTAATATTCAGGGAAATCTATGTGTGAAATATGTCTAATAGGTGCGTGCCAATGTTGACAGGGTATAAATGTACCAGAATAAAAAAATTCGGATAAGCCCTCCCCATAACCTCCTTACAATACCCACAGTTTCAAGTTAAAAGTTAAAAGAAGTGCCATTTCGTGTCCTCGAACCTCTGTCCTCCACGCGACATTAACATCTCGACCGAGGTTCGAGACCACAAAATGTTACTTATTTTTTTTATGTGCAGAGCGAACATGCTGAACTAACTTTAAATAAATTAAATTTGTTAAGGGCTAAGAAGAACTTCTCACTCTATACAAGGCCCAGATAACACCTAGACCTAGCATTTTATTGCTCACACGTTTGGGGTGCTGCCGCGTCGCCAAGTTTGTTAAGTTTTTTGACCTCTAAATTAAAAAAAAAATGATGATCGTTTAAACGTCAAAAAACGAAGTTTTAGCGATTTTTACATTTTTTCGTTTTAGGCCTGTTCCTTTGCCGCCTCCTTGACATAATAGTAACATAGTGTAAAAATGACATCCAAATCCGAGCGGTAATTCTCAAGTTACAGGCGGTTATAAGATGACAGACAGACAGGCTGACGGAAATGAGGGGCATATCATATAAAACCAAAAAACATTTGCGAAAATTTTCGCGATTACAATACTTCTTCGCCAGTAGTCGTGGGAAGTAAAAGCAAACACCCAGTAATTTATGATACTGAACTTTATTTTAGATCCCATTAAAAGTGTTAAATGCAGTGTGTGTCACAAAACTATGTCAACTCTAAAATCTTGTTAGCAGTGATGATTAAAACTGGCATTCACTTCACATAAAGTAGAACAGAAAATAGATTAAATATGGTAGGTTGACCTAAATAAGTTCATTCACACCTCCACAAGGTATACCTTTTCAACTTAGATACATATGAAGGAGAATAATGTTTATTTATATTTTACTTCCCAATAAGCGAGAAAGTCCTGTAATCAGGAAAAGCTATTTCACTCTTTTCAGTCAGCCTGTCTGTTGTCATCATTTCAAATTAATTACCCCTCCTTAAGTCGAAAAATACCACTGTGTTTTTTATGAAATTTGGACACAAGGATAAAAAAGCTTTAGTATACCGAAACCTATACCAGTAGCGGCGAAGAAGATAAAAAATCCACAAACTTCATTTTTAAACTTTCCAATGCTTCTGGATGTTGAATGAAGTGGAAAATGTAAGGGATCTTTGTGAAATATTTTTTCATCAATCTTTTTTTGCATATAACAAAAAATGTATGGGAAAAATTAAGCCAATTGTCATTCTACTTGGTTCCATATTATATAGTCACTATAAGATTTTAATATATGGAATCAATATCAAGTAAAGTTACTCTTATTATTAGATCCATATACGTAGATGTAACAATATAGCTGAGGAAAGCTGAATCAGCATACAAAAAGCTCTGATGACAATTAATTTTCTATTTCCATGCAGTGATAATTATCTGCCAGATTAACACTAATAAAGAAATCTCATATTAAAATAAAAAAGCAAGTCAGATATGCATATAGTCAATGCTTCGTGTTATATAACATTATGTTGGAGGGTATAAGAAATTGCAGTTTTGCATTTAATGAAGGTTTTCTATTGTGAGAATGCTAATGCTGAAATATAGAAAACACATGCTGCAGAACATTTGTTTTTAAGTACTTGTACAGGTTCAACCACAGTTTCAAAGACACAATACGGCCTAATAATGTAACGGTGGTTTTAACATGCACAATATCCGAATATTCAAGATCAGTGGTGATTCCTCCAAATTATTATAAAAGTGTATCTGTGATGAGTATACCAAGAAAAATATATGATTTAACTAAAATCATCTGATTTCTTACAATTCAAGCTGCAAAGTTGAATTGATCAGAAAATTCACCACATATACTTTATGCAGACAAAATTATTTTTATATTGCCTATATAATGTGCACTCCCACACCATTATCATTTCATAAAGGATTATGTTCAGCACAATCTAAGGCCCCTATCGTCAGTCGACCCTACAATTGTAGGGCGCGTTTATGGCCTCCTTGATTGTCATACTCCTTTCTCTCCTTAAAAAATTTCTAGATTACACTTGTCCCGTGTCAGCGTCAGCGCTCTCCTATTGTGAAGATATGTTTTCTTTTTAAATTGTAGGAAATTTCAGGCCGATAAAACATGATATAACTCAAAAGCAAGCACAATTTGATGCATTATTTCCCTACCCTACCAGTAGTGCATCTAGCAACTGCGCTTCTCCCCAATACTTGACCTGGTTAAATGTGGTAGCGCAGTCACATCAGGGAAAACACTATGCTGTGAGGAAGCCAAGGCCCGCGACACGGCAGAAACAGCCGCGGCCGGTAGGTATGCGATCTGTCTGCTGAGAATATCTTTCTAAATGTTAACGGTTAATGCATGGAGAAATCTATGATCTGTGAAATATGTCTTATAGGTGTGTAGAATTACCAAGATTGGGAGTATATAAATGTACTAACATTAAACAATTAAGATAAATCCTCCCCACCTCCCTACAAACCCCACACATATTTTTTTTCCAAAAATGATCTGGATCCTCTGATATGTCTAAATACCATTTTTAACCAGTTTTTATTCTTCTTTGTTTTTAGCCATTTTCTCTGCCACCACTGGGCCAATTTTCAAACACAGTAAAAGCTATTGTGTCCTTGGCATAGTAGTAACATTGTGTGAGAATTACATCAAATTCTGAGCAGTACTTCTCTAGGACTGATGGAAATGGGTGACATGGTTTTTCATAATGTACACGTCATATAACATTCAAAAAATTTCTAAAATTTTTGCGATTACAATACTTTCCCACCAGCAAGTGTGGGAAGTAAAAAGACAAATTACATAAATTCAAGCAGACTAAATTTCAGAAATTCGTAATAAATAGTTACTGATTCAAATTAAAAAAGCAGTGTACATGCTAGATAATAATCTCAAATTTATTTCTCATGTAAATCATGTAACTAATTGTATCTGTACTTAAATAAAGAAATACTTGATTTTAGATCCAAAAAAATTTTATGTAAATCTTTAATAATATCAAAGATCACATATTGTGATTTAGTATACTATCCATTTCTAGATTCAGTTTCAGCTAAATGTCTTTAAAATATTCAAAATTCATGTTGTAGATTGATTTTCAACTTAAGAAAATATTAGTTCATGTTTTGAACAGCTGAACTGGTTGAATGTTGCAAAATTGTATAAGCTTCATTTATTATGCTATGTTCACAAACTCCTACATACAGACATTCGATTCATTGACACTTTAACTATGCCTTTTCACAAAACTTCTTTATTTCATAAATGCTTTACCTATAATGCAATCTGTACAATGCATTACCATCATCTGATAAACATCTTGATTTCAATAATTTCAAAAAGCAAATTAAACAAATTATCTCTGATGCTCAAATATGAAACCTCCTGTATACAGTTCAGCCATATTTCTTTTTAAACGTGCACGTTGTATTCAATATGTAATTTTTGTTTAAATTTTGGAAGAAAATTTTGTTAAAATTGTTATCAATATTCTAGTGTTAGTTATTTTCAAGGGTTAAGTAGTAGAATAGCTTGTAGCTAAACTGTACCTGAATAAAAGTTGTTTAATATTATTATTATTACATGCAAGTGCATGTTGCTAGTTAAAGATGTTTCATTAGAAACAAATTTTTCAATAGTTTTTTTCTGGGTACCCTGTATATTGGAAAACATGTCAGAAAATATTGCACTATAGCCTAATTTGGGTTATAAAAAGAACTAACCCAGACCTGATAATCTGATTCTGTGCTATACAATAAGCTAAATCAACATATTTGGATATTTTCAAATAATTTGATTAAGTTTTTGAAGGCAGAGCTTATCGATAATTTCGCAAGTTCTGCATGAACCACCCTGTATGTATGGTGAGTCAAGGAAGTCAAATGTAACAATATTTAATATATTCAAGAAACTTAAAGGGGACCAGCACTGAGGATTTGTGCTGTATTGCTTCAGCTTTGATAGTTCACAGCAAAGCTATTCCATGGCTATTCACTGGAGCATAAAACTACTGCACTTGGATAACTGGTTATCTGAATGCACTAAACAATGAGTATAAAAAAAACTTACAGTAACAATCATACAGATGTTCTCCTTCACAGCTCCGCAGCACCCCAAAAATGCTACAATAAAAATGATCACCCCAACAGCAATCAAGATTATGGGTGAATACTGATAGCTTCTATCCACAAAATTGGTGTAATCTGAATAGCTTATGTGGAGTATAGCTCCCACTGTTAGTATTGCTATTCCAGATATCTGAAAACAAAAAAAAATCCAATTGAGTATATACAATATAAACAATATTCAGACTGACAGATCATAACAAGCAAACAAAACAGTTGAGTGTCTTTGTTCACAAGTAATAAAAATCCTTTTGTCATGAATTAAATGAAACTCAATTATTAAAACAGAATACACGTCTCTACTTACAGCAAAGAGAAGGTTGAAGCAAAACAGAAGGTATTTTATACAAGACATCCCTCCAGACACCATCTTCGCAGTTATTTCCACGTAAATGCCCTAATAAAACGAACGCTTTAAAATCGATAAACAAATTTGACGTGCGTTTATAGCATACCTTTGATCGATTAGAAACGAAATCAAAAAAGTTATTTAGGCGCTCCCTTGCCTTCGATTTTATTTGAAATATGTTGCACTTTCACATCTGCTTGACAGTACACGGAAAGCAAGGATTATCTGCGATAAAAACCAATACGTGTGCGCAGACTGCAAATATCTTCAGAGGGTTTGTTTTGATAGCATTTATCTAGCAAGTTGCTTCAGACTTTCACTTGATTTAATTATTCATGAAATAAAGTTTAACTCTCTGTTGTTTTTATTGTCACTAGATCACTGAACTGTCACAACACGACAACACCAAGCTCTACCACACCACCACTATTTTAGCCACAATCACTAGCAGCACCAACTAATTTTGTGCCTCACTACGACCATAAAATATATACAATCTGTTCTGTGACTGGGACTGTTATGTTACGTCCTCTGACGTGCTCAGGTTTTCTGTGGCTGGACTGGACTGGATGACTGGAACTTGCGACTTGAGGTACAACAACCGCTAACCAGTGTTGCCAGAGCGAAGTTTAAAATATCCGTCACACGTATCGCAAAATTCCGCTACATGCCATGTCTAAAAACCCTACTAAAAATACAAACAGTAACATAATATAATTGCAATTTTTCGTAAAAACATACAAAGTATACCTCTATAAAAACAAAACTGTATTTGGTTTATAATTAGGAACTAATAAAAAAATAGAAACTATCACCAATATCTTATCTTAATAGAAAAAAAAAAACAAAAAATAAGGACAAAGAAGAAGCGGAAACGTGGAAATGCCTACGTTTGCCTATTTTATTCACAGTCAGAATCAGAAATTACTTCTTCTTCAGCTTGTTCTTCCTTATTTACATTATATAAATTCTTTTTATATTTGTTTAAATGATTCTCATTAAAACTATAGGATAAACAGCACTGTTTTTTTAATTCCAAGTCTAATTTAATTGTAAGTAGTGGAGACAAAGTTGATGGTATTATTTTATTTCTTTTTTTTTGTTTTGTAATCAAGCATATAAGAAAAAGTTCGCTCAACATCAGCGTTTCCATGAGGCAATGTTAAAATGATTAGAGCCAGTTTACCTATATTGCGAAATAAATATTCGTCATTAAAATTTTTGAGGTCGTTTACAAACGACCAAAATTCAATGACATTACTTTTTGTTTTTAAAATTTCCTCTTTCTCACTATCACTAAAATAAATACATATTTTCTTTAGTTCCAAAATTGCCTTTTCGGTTTCAATATGAAGGGCAAATTTTTTAAAACGGCGTCATGAAAGGTATCACTTATAATAAGACGATTGTTCATCACATCAACCGGTGAGAGAAACTTTAGCTCTGAAAAGAAGTTGTCTTTGATAGGAAATCTTTTAAGGAACTCTTCTACCGATTTTTGGTAAAATGTGACACATTTTAATTTAAATTGTTCGATTGCCGTGTTATTGCAGTGTTTTATTGCATCCATTGTATGCGGACCAACATTCACTTGTTCAATTGGTAATAAGCAGTGGGGATCATTAGGATTTAGATTATACAATTTCTCATTTTTAAAATATTCTGGTCGCATAAAGTTTGTGCATAGATGACGTACAAATCGCTCACTCTCTATTGATATGATATTGAGCATAACTTTCTCTGATTGAAAGAGAGCATTAAATTGGTTAAAAATGGGCAACACGAATTTAAAAAACATTAAATACGCCTTAACAAATGGATTCTGTAACTCATTAAGTAAGTATTACATTTGCTACAGGATTTTTGTCTTCAATGGAAGCTAATCTAAATAGGCTAAGCAAGATGTCCCACTGATCCAAAACTCTATAAACACATTTGGATAAAGCAAGCCACCTTGTTTTACTAGGGCTTAAAATTTTTAATTTTGACTTTTTGAAATATTCCTGTAATTCCTCTTGAGAAGTAAGAATATAAGTTTTGTAAAAGAGCTTCAACGTTGCTTGGAATCTTTTCAGCTGCCGCCACCGCCACTAAATGAGCAGAGTGGCAAATGCAGCCATTGACAATTATATTAGGATTATCTTTTAAAAGATAAGTTTTGAAATATTCGTTCTTGCACATCATAACACTAGCGTTGTCGGAACAGTATCGAACAATATTGGTAATTTTTACTTGACTGGATATAACGCATTTTTTAAAAAAAGAATATAAACCTTTGGCGGTACCTTCATCTGCGTTTATTTTAATTATATCTAGTAAATGGGTTTTAATTGAATTTTTATGAAAATACCTTACAAGAATGCATAGTAGTCTTGTATTGCTCAGGTCTGTACTCTCATCCAATAAAATAGAAAATGGTTTATTTTCCAATTCTGAAATTATTTCGTCTTTAATAACAGGAGCCAGCACATTTTTAATTATACTTATGCATTTGGATCTTTTTAATTTAAGTGAGCTAGAGAGATCTGGGTCTTTAAAACATAATTGACTAACTCCTGTTATATGATCAACAGTTCTAAAACTTATATAATGACTTACAACTAAAAGACTATATCTTAAGCAAGCAAATATTTGCCGTTTTTCCAACTCACGTGCTTCCCGAGACTGAAAAGTGCTATCTAACGTTCTTACATTCGAAATTGCTTGTACATTAGTGGCATGCCTTTTTGATTTCGAATGATTCACTAAATCTGATTTTCTAGCACCCATTTTTTTATTACAAGCTTTACATTTTGCTTTCAACTTGTCATTTTCAATAGGTCCCAACCAGCCTTTAAATAACGGATCTTCTAGCCATGATGAAGTAAACATTTGTTTTCGTGTCTTTTTCTTAACAGGTTGCTCTGGCTCTTGGTTATCCTGAGATTCGCAAGTCGAATTATCAGACTCAGACCTGATTCCACTAGATTCCGCTCTTCTATTTTGTCTGTATTCAGGTTCGGGATGCTCCGAGTCCGACACAGATGCAGTCGAAGTGGATGGTACGGCCACGTTTGGTTTCACCGTTTGTTTTTTAGAAGGATTTTCATCAAAAAAATCGTTAATGGTCTGCTGTCGCCTTTCCATTATTCATATTTTCCAGAAGAAAAAGCGTTAAAAACAAATTTCGCGACTAAGATTTATTTCTGGATCAAACTATAATATGTTAGATATTTAAACAGTTTTGTTACTTACCAGTAGATTTAATATTAAAATCTGCAGCAAATGATATATCAATAAAATGATCAACACAAAAATAAGAACACTAATATAAACGAAACTAAACAGTATATACCCAGAGCTGAAAAATACAATACAAAGCGAGAAACCTAATATTATGTCTGCCTGCTGAGACCTGTTAGAAACGATTAGTATTGAAAGCAGTACGTACGCCATCTGTTATTGAAAAAAAAGGCAAGTGGAATAATTCTCTTCTCTGTTCCTAGATGGCTCAAGCGGCACCAAATGCACCAATTTTATTATTAATGTGATAATAAATCAGACTCTAGCCACTGTCTATTTAGGATTTAGAACGTTATTAACGTTAAAACAGTGAAAAAAATATGATAGTTTTGTGTGTAATAAATTCCGCTACATTTTGGGCTAATTTGCGGAATTCAGCTACGTATGGCAACACTGCCGCTAACCGCTAACCACTACTCCCTTCCCCTACCAATGCTTTTCACTTCAGCTTTTTCGTTTTTATCTCCCCTCCATAATGCACTGCCGTTGCACTCAATGTTGCCGAAACGAAAAAGGCGGAATCGTTAGACAGTGTCGTTGAAATTAGCCCAATACGCCCAAAATCGGTCTGAGGAAAAAATCAAGATCAACGATGGATTAAGAGACTTGTTGCAGCGCCACCAATGGAAAAATATATTTTTGTATTGCGCGCACTTACACAACACACGTTTTTTGAGGGCATCTGTTCCTGAAAAAATTAACTTCTTTATTACAACTTTTACAATGAGCATACCGGTCGCTCTTTACTCGTTTGCAACTATCACTGAAACCTCTTTTGTCATTCTTGTTTATTAGATTCTGGTTATTTTTCTGATTCACCCCTGAACTTCATTACCTTGACGATTTAATTTAATATTCAATTAAATACAGACGAGCTCTGGTCTTCTTATTCCTGTCCGGAGATGCGATAATGACGGTGATCTACCAGTCTGTACTTGTACACAAAAACTAATTTAGGCAAAACGCAATAAGGGTTGTGTGTACATAATTGTATTCAATCCAAATTTACGTCCCTCGTGTACCCGACTGCCTGTGTCCGCGTACTGTATGTATGTCTGGTATGTGGCGTAAAATATATTAGGAATTCATTTTTTAGCTTTATTTTTTTTGGTTCCAACTCTTTTTCGGCAAGAAATCTGGAAATATCTGAATTATTTTAAAAAATCGTGGAAAAAAGGTTTTCCTTAGTCTCATTCCGGTAGAAATACCGAAAAATCGGTATGTTCGGCAACACTGGTTGCACTACACGGATGATACACTTGAGTCGAGGCAAGCCGCGCACCGAACGAGGCAGGCTCGGCGCGCCGCGATGTGATTTGCCGCGAAACGAAATGCGATACAACGAAACAACGTGTTGTCGCGAGCCGCGGCATGCTCACAGCTGAACCGTACAGGAGCACATGCTCAGTGATTACTTATTTAGTGGAGCGGTTCATTTTGATTTCCTTGCTTTATTGTTTTATTACTTCGTTTACTTGTAGAAGATTAGAACATGTCGACAAAACTACGTAAGCTTGATTAATTTCATTGAATTTGCACGCGAAGACTGAGAACTGAAATAAAAATCAAATTAATAATGTATTTTTCAGATCGGAGTGGAGCAATGAAAAATGCCTAGATTCAAGTACAGAAGTTAGTGCCACAATTTGTAAATAACCAGAAATAGACACTATGTTCGCCCTGAGGCAAATGCTGATCGAAAATTCCGTACACACTGCGCACCAACGAGGCACGGCTCGGCCGGTGCTCACTTTGATGGACCGACAGCCGATGGCTCAGGCTCAGGTCGCGCACCGCATGAGGCAAACCGAGCCTGTTCGCAGCTGTGTTGGCGCGTCGTACACACTTGCGCATCGCGGCGCGCCGAGGCTGCCTCGTTCGGTGCGCGGCTTGCCTCGATCCCGGCTTCCTTCCAGTACAGCCGTATAGCGTACGACATATGTCGTTTCTGTGGCTTTGCGGTGGTCAACAGCACAGACAGAGATGGAAATAATGGCTGATTGTTCTCCGCCGGTAGAACCAATGAAATCAAAGACGCGCCTCGACCGGCAGACTCATAGGCGTCGGCAACGCATTGGAACGTGTTTCGTTGAGCGATCGCATATTGTGTGTTTTTATAAGAATTGTTGTGTGATTGTTATTGTTGTGGTTTCTGTGGTTACTGTTTTGGTTATACTTAACCATGGAGAGTACAAATGGCACGAGTGGAAGTACTGAAAGCCAGGGAACAAGTAGACGGCTTCGTAAAGCACTGAAGAGGGACGCGAAAGAAATCGTGCTCAACGTGATCAATTATCTGAACAGAACTATGTCGCAAGGAGATGCACTCGCGCGTTGTGAAAGTATGACAGGCGTTCCAGAGTGGACCATTCGCAGGGTGGTGCATGAAAAGAAGAAAACTGGAGCTACTACTGATCCAAAGTTTAATTTGAAGGGACGAAAGGCCGTTAAATTGGATGACGATAGCAAAATGGCGTTAAGGCGAACCATACATTCATTCTTCTTTAGGAATGAGATACCAACCCTCAAGGCTGTACATGCAGCGATCAAGGAAAATGAAATTATACCCCAAATGAGCGTCGAGGTAATGAGGAAATCCCTGCACGAAATTAATTTTCGTTACGAAACGCGTAATCGGTAGTCAGTATTGATAGAGAGACCTGAAATAGTCGCCTGGCGTCGAAAATACCTACGCGAAATGATTGAATATAGGCGACAAAGCAGAAAAATCTATTATTTGGACGAGACATGGGTAAATGCAGGTCACACAGTTAAAAAAACCTGGATAGACAAAAACGTAGTGAGTAATCGACAAGCAAGCATTGAAGGTTTGTCAACAGGTCTTCGTGGACCGTCAGGGAAAGGTCAAAGATTGATCGTAACTCATATTGGTAGCGATAGTGGCTTTTTAGAAGAGTGTGACTTGATTTTCGTCTCTAAGAAAGGAGGTGATTACCATGACGAAATGAATGCCAGCTGCTTCGAGAGCTGGTTTCAAGGGGTGCTTCAGCGAGTTGAGCCCAACTCTGTGATCGTCATGGATAATGCTTCCTACCATAGTCGTCGAGCCGAACGTGTACCGACTATGGGATCTCGAAAAAGTGACATGCAGCAATGGTTTCGCGAAAACTGTGAACTGAACCCAATAGAGCTCATCTGGGCTCAAGTGAAGGGTTATATTGCGCGCCATAACACAACCTTCAAATTACCAGGCGTTAAGGTTTTACTTGAGACTTCCATACAGCTAGTAACGCCCGAAGTCTCTCAGAATGCTATCCGTCATGTTGTGAAGGAATAAACAAAAATGTGGCAGCTTGACCACCACATCGACACCATCATAGAGCCAGTTATAGTCAATTTCAACGAGGAAAGCGATAGCGACAGTTTATTACTGTCAGATGTAAGTGGAAGCGACGATGAATAAAGGTAATTCCCAAATTTTTTACTTACAATATGTTTCAAACCACTCTTTATTAAGCATGTGACAAATCTAGTTCACCCATTCACCCATTCACGAAGAAGGATTGCAAGACCTCTCGAAGCATCCATCTTCGATGAAGATATCCAGTGGAGCGACAATGTCAAATATCTGGGGATCGTTTTTGACAAGTCCCTCACCTGGAAAGCGCACATAGAAGCTGTCATCGCAAAAACCAGAGCAGCCATGGCTCAACTCTATCCATTACTGGGTAGACACAGCCAGATGCCGCTAGCGACCAAGCTACGGCTGATCAAGGCCATCGCCAGACCTCAGCTCGCTTACGCCTCCGCGGCCTGGGGGTACGCTGCCCCCAGCTACCGCAAGCGACTTGCTGCTCTAGAGATGAAGCTACTCCGGATCGCCACCAATGCACCTTCCTACGTAAGGAACTCAACCTTGCGTAGAGACCTGCATTGGGATACCATCCACGAGTACATGAGGAAAAAAGCGGAGAAGACCTTCGAGAAAGCTCAGGACCACCCGAACGAGCAGCTACGATTCCTCATGGACTACGATCCGGACGAGAGGCCTCGCAACCGCAGAACCAGGTACCCCAGACCAAGGTCCCAGTTGGCACCCGCTAACTGGAACCTTGACTAGGAGACTAGGAGAACTTGCGGCTGCTACCCCCCCCCCCCCCCACCCCACGGCGTGGATGCAGAGGACCAGGAACCACCGGGACCAGGACCAACCAGGACCAGGACCCGCCACGACCAGGACCCACCAGGACCAGGACCCTTCAGGACCAGGACCAGGAACAACATATTGGTAAGAGGACTTGAAACTCTTGATTTTTCGAAAACAAGAGTTTCAAGAGAAACTAGCAGACCCTCTATCGATGATCGCTTAACGACATCGATAGAATGTGCGAGGTAAAGGGAACCAACCCGGCGTTCCCAGAGACTGAAACACATGAGGAGACGTTGTAGCAGACCGCAGGTCACGCACAACACATGGCCTACCGAGACGCTGATGAGTCGGGCCACGCGGAGGTTTAGGGTTTAGTGGGTATTAGGTGATCTCCTCAAGACCCTGGAGCCCCACTCACGCCGTAGCTCGTGCTATGGTATGGTGCGTAAATGCATTCCCCCTCGTTAAAAAAAAAAAAAAAAAAAAAACATTGCCAAGTGAGCAGCCAATCCTTTGTCGCTGTCATTGATTGTAAACCTATCAGTTTGATCAGTTCCAAAGAGTGCTGCACCCAGCAGGAGAATTTCGCCGCGAAGACATCGTCGGAAAAACAACAAAAGAAAAATAGAACCTTTCAAAATTTAACAGCAGGGTAACCAAACAGAATAAAATGACAAACCATGAGTTGAGACATCGCTGCGAAGCTGCGTTTAAATCCACGTCGTTGACATTGCACTTTTAAATATTTAATTAAACAATATACGGACACATTTCCATGGATGAAACGAGTCTTTTTTTTATTATATTGTAACGTGGATAATCGACAGAGAATATAAACAGACATTCAGATTCCCTATTATCACCAACGTTTGCAATTCATAGTTTTAACGTATCCTGCAATAAATGCTTCACTAATGAACTTGACCTAAACGAAAAAGACCGCCATAAATTTGAAGTCACCGTTAGCATTCATTGGACAACCCTCCAGAAGTTCATTGTGTGTGGCTAGCTTAAGATATTCCACTCAGTAGTTTTTTAGTAGTCGCATCCTTCAGGTAGACGTTGCAGTGTTGCCATCTCTGATTTTGGAAAGAAGGTAGATTAAGCACAATAAATTGGTAGAATTGTAACATGAAAGTCCACCCCACCCCAATTCAATAGATTTTTTAGGATTAAAGATGGATAAAAACTTCTGAAGAAGAAAATTTATTTAGTTAAAAATAGGATAACCCTATTACACACAATCATTGAAAATACATGGCATTAAAATAGTAAACACTTAGCATTAGATATTTTTAAATTAATACATTTTAAAAGAAAACAACTTCAATCCGCAAAATGCACAATTTACTAAAACAAAGTTAATGAATTCAAGTAGCTCTTTCTTGAATCTATGAGGAGTTGAACATTCTTTGATGTACGTAGGCAATTCGTTGAATGCTTTGAAACCTTCAAAATATAGTGAATTCATACACATTCTAGCAGGCTTAGAAATGTACATGCTCATGTTCTCTCTGGTTGTATAAAGGTGAACACCACAAGCAAAGTTAATTTGATCAATCAAGTACCTAGGAGTCATTCCTCGAACTATCTTAAAGAGAAAAACCATTTTTAGGTAGAACACTCTGTGCAACACATATGAATTCAGCATTGCGTTTGGAGGTGTCTCAAACGATTATACCTCAATATAACTCTCATTGCACGATTTTTTAGTTTTTGTAGCTCAGCCAATTGAGTTATATTGAATGAGTAATTAAATGTTGGACGATAGTCAAAATGTGTCTGAATTGTGGTTTTGTAGACTTATATTTTTGTTTGATGTGAAAGGGAGCTGCTTGCTATTGAAAAAACAAATATAGATTTTGTATCCTTTTACAGATATATTCAAAATGTTCATCAACAGCTAAACAGTTGTTCTATAATAGTGATTCTATCGAAACGATGTTAATACAGACTATTTTGTTACCATTTGTTACTGATTCACATTAACTCTAAACTCCCATTTTAAACACGATAATCCATTATACTATAGAATAGCAGACACTGGCGTCGACATTTAATGACCAAGCGGTCGTATTTGACAGAACCATTGAACAGCAGGACCAACTGAAAGGGCTTGACGTATTTACGGTTATAAAATATTTTGTGGTTATAATCGTTATGCCCTTGTCAGTTTTGTCAGAGAAAAGTCAACAGTAAACTGCCAAAACTCACTCAGTTTTTTTTGCGTTCCCTATCACATATATGAGCATTTTCGTTTTAAACGGTGATTCAGTAAATAATCAATGATTAAGAATTGATAAGTGCTTATATTTTCATAGCCTGCACCGTCATAAGTTGAACAGCGTTTAGTTAATCGTAGGAAACACTCGACAACATCGCATTTTCAACTCAACAAGTATATGTTTTGTAAGACAAGCGACAAGCTGCTGTTCTGTGCGCATGCTGTTATTTCCTTATCATTACCTTTTTTGCCTGAAATTTCAATCAGGAGTATGTGGAAATGAAATTATATTACAAATATAGAAATCTACATAGGTAGAACACAGTAAAAATTAAACATTACCGAAAAACATGCCCTAGTCGAGCTCCCCGCTCTTTAATTTCCCATTTTGGTATAACATACTATCGTAGGGCCTCTGATTGCTCTGGCCCTAGGGCTGCAGACTTCAAACTTCCTGTGTTAGGGGCTCCTACATAGTATGAGACGGCCCTGAACGTATAATATGCATTGTAATCTATCCTGTATTTATATGTTTTTTACACGAGGAGATGTATGCTATAAGAGACTTGAAGGTTGAAGGCACAAATCGAACCTCTCATTTATTAATCAAATCCAAGCGAATAACCAAAACTTCCGTATTATGTACCGCGGTTATAATATGGTTCAAGATGACACACGGAATGATGACGTCAGTTACTCGAATCGCTTGAACGCGTTGGTTTTAACCGCGGTTTGTTTCAAGTTGTTTATTTTAGAAAAGAGCGTATATAATTTCTGATTATTTTTATTATCACTTAATAATCGGTGCTTTTTCGGCTACAACGGGATATGGAAAGTTTAAAAAAGAAACCTTTCATAATATTAATGGGAGAAATCTTTTTTTTTCATAAAATTTTTTTTACTGATGGAACCATGGCTTTGTACCTATGATAACATTCAATTCTCAAAACTTTTTCGCGTGTCAAAGACAATATTTTAAATGATGAAAAAGCGATGAAAAAAAGATATTAACAAAACTGTATACAGGTGGACATCATACAGTGAGTTTATATGGCCATATTTTAATATTCTTGTGGTATATGGCTATACAGGATACTTTGGTAAGCGTGGGAACTAGATTTAAAGTGTCTCCAACAACAGTAATGATTATAACTAATAAGGTGCTCTCTTATGTTAAAACTGAAGTCAGCCTGTATCAAGTTTCCCAAAAATGAAGCTGAAGTACAATAAAAATATCCAATACCCGGCAAAACTCTAACTTGTCACATGTCAAATAATAACCACAAGTATAAAACTACTCCTGAGTTGGGTAAATACCACAATTTTGCGGTGATAACTATGACATATAACAGCTGATTCATGACGTCACGGATCTTATACCCAAACTGATAACCACACTCGCTTGAACGGATCGGTAAATACCAATCCAAAATGGTAAATAGCATTTTCATTTGGTTATCCGCTTGAATTTGATTATTGTGTTGTGTACTTGTGGTTATTAAAATTGACAGTACAAGCAGTGTTGCCAGAAGTAGCGGAATTTTCAAGTGGTAGCGGCGGAATTGGATTTTTTGTTAAAAATAATTTATATAGTATAGAGAGAACAGAAATGCAACAAGAAGAATCTGATACAGACAGTGACTAAGTTTAAGTAACTCAAAAACTTCAATTTTTTTATGCAAAAGAGAAATGGCCTTTAGTCATATGCTTTTTATTTTTTAATTTCCTGTGATATTTTTTTAATATGACTGCGTGATAAATGTTCTGTTGTTTAACAGTGATTTGAAATATTGTATTGATTTTTATAGTCAATTGTTTTTTTATTACAGTTTTATGTTATATTTTATCTTTTATCACGCTGTTTGATTTTTGTTTTCCTTTTTTGACAAAACCTGTATAATAAATGCGTTTTATGATAGTGCGCCAACGGAAAAATAAGTAGGTCTACCTAAAAGTTGGTAGATACGACAACGCTGGAAGTTGACGAGTAGACGCTAGACGTTCGATCTGACGTGTAAATTAAAATAAAAAGCGAGGTTAATGATACATTTTCATTGACACATCAAAAAGAATTTTCCAAAATCTAAAGTCTGCATTGAAATGGGTGAGCCTGAAACCTTGGAACCGTCTCTTAAAAATGTTATAGACCAAACAACGTTAAAATGGATATTTGTAGGTGGCAAAGGTGGCGTAGGAAAAACTACATGCAGGTAGAAGTGTTATTTGGTGTATTTTATCACATAATCACGAATGTTTGATACAGTTGTAGCTTGGCAGTACAACTATCGAAAGTTAGAGAGAGTGTCCTGATCATATCCACTGACCCTGCCCACAATATATCTGATGCATTTGATCAAAAGTTTACCAAAGTTCCTACACTGGTCAAAGGGTTTACAAATTTATATGCTATGGAAATTGACCCAAACATAGGTTTCAATGAGCTACCAGATGAATATTTTGATGGAGAACCAGATGCCATGAAAATGAGTAAAGGTATAGCATTTGCAAATACCAAATTTTCACCGCTTATGTATTGCTTAGAGGTGTCCTGGTTTTTACAGCTATTGATTAACCATAACATTTTTAGATGAATTCTTACACAATTTTGAACACTTGCAAACTAAGACACTATGTGGTGTCTTATGGTATACCTTCTCTTTTGCCTATCCATCTGACAACACCTCATGATAAACCCAATTCCTTTAATCAAGTTTTCTTTCTTCATAGGTATTATCCAAGAAATAATAGGAGCTTTCCCAGGTATAGATGAAGCTATGAGTTATGGTGAAGTAATGAAACTCATAAAAAGTATGAACTTTTCAACAGTTGTATTTGATACAGCTCCTACAGGCCATACTTTGAGGTTACTCTCATTTCCTCAAGTAGTAGAAAAAGGTCTAGGGAAACTATTGAGGTTGAAACTAAAAGTTGCACCACTCATATCCCAGCTAAGTGGCCTATTAGGTATGTTTTTCATACTTTCCTGACACATCTTGAAAATGGATTTTATATGAAAATGTTCAATTGGTGCCTCATACAACCATCAGTGGCATACAATTTTTAATTTACTGCCTTTAGAAATAAAGAATTGCCATAGTCCAATGACATTTAAGAATCTGTTATCTCTTTAATTATATAAATGGCTTTTTTAGAGTGGAAGAATATTGTGATAAGTGCCATTAAATTAAGCCAAATTACTATTTAACTGTTTTTTATGCTATAAGTTCTCATATAATAATGCTTTTTGTCAAAAGGAAATAAAGTGGATCCAGGGGACCTAGTTATCCCCAAATGGTATAAAATACTGACTAAATTTGTAGGCGAACTATATCTTCTTCATGATCATGGACTTGGCAGTAGATATCTCACATGTCTCAGGTTTGCAAATTGGGATGCTTTAGAATCGCAAAAGCACCAACCAAAGGGTTTAACATTTACATTACTCAAAAATGCTGTGGTATTCTTGTTTTCAATTAAATAACTCAAATGGGTGGACATTCGTAATGGTATTGTGTGTCAATTTTTCTGTAATATTTCAAATTTGCAGCTGGTAGCCTCAAACATCTATCTTTGAAGCTTTAACAGCCATTTAAATAACCCACAAATCAAGATATATATATATATACAGGGTGACTTCGAAGTTGAGTCATTTATTTTAACAGTGAGTAGATCTGATCAAAATAAATGTTTTTTTCCTTTAACATTTTTGTGGTAAAATTAAAGTAACAAAGTTATAGCCCTTTAGAAGTTTGAGTACCGCCCTGTCTCAATAATAATAGTTGCTCGTGTTTGGCAACAACGGATATAATCGGAAACAAAAAAGCGAAAGAATTTGAAACGCTTATCACGATGTTTTATTCATTTATTTTATTCAGTTGTATTCATTCGATGTGTCAGTCGGTAACGCGTGAGTGGTGTTTCTGCGTGGCTCAAACGAAATAAAAAATGGCACATGTTTACGAAAATGCTGAACTTGTGGACATGATTCTGATTTTACAAAATGCTGCTACGGCAACACGGATTTATGCGGATCGGTTTCCCAATCGAGTGCAACCAACCCCTAGTGCCTTTGTTAATGTAGTACAAAGGGCTCGTGAATCAGGTGACTTAAGTCCTCACACGGCAGGGTATGTGCTCCAAGACCGCACGATCAAATACAGGTCCGCACTGAAATACTTGTCGGGAGGATATTTTATAAAACAAGGTAACATTTTTTTTAATTTTTTTTTTTAATTTTTACACACATATTTTGGTTTATCTTCTTTCTACAATCATTATCTGAAAATTAATGACTCAACTTCAAAATCACCCTGTATATATATATATATATATATATATATATATTCATATGTGTATGTTGTTTCAGTTACAAAATATATGGAATGGTTTGTTATTACCTCTTAAAAGCAGGAAAATGATCATTAGCAATTTTTTAACAGGTTGGATGGATTTTTGCTTTGACCTTCCTATGAAATTTTAGAGGCATAAATATTTTTATGTTGACCATTCAAGACTACAAAAAAAACACATGAAATCGGGCATACCATCCCCATGATTTTTTGGACTATTTCGCGCAAAAGTATTTTAGAAAATTATGAATTTTTTAGTCTCTAGATATTAAACATTTTTTAGCACTATATTTTACTTAACTTTATGTTGAGTTTCAACAGACACAGTTACACTGTGTGTGAAGTTGAAGTATTATATTGGTGACGTTTTCAGTTCGTAAGATGTATTATTATAATGACAAAATATGCTGTTCATTTTAACCTTCTACATGTACCTACTTGCTAATTTATCAGATCTCTTCAGAGGCCAGTTCCACCACACATTTTTTGTTTCAAATTTAGGTTTATAGATATTCGTATATTTATTTGAGTAAGCTGTCTATGCCTGAGGTTATGACTACCAGCCAGAATACTGACATTTTCTGTTACTTGTTTGCAACTGGGTCATAGTCCTGCAGCACCTTATTTCTCAAAAAAAATTTTGCCTTAAATAGGCAAATTAATAGTCTTGAATCAAAACATTTTTTAATTTTTTAGGGATTCCTGATTTCACAGCTGACAGTTTTTCAACGAAAATGGAAGAGATGCTTTCTGTAATCAAGCAGGTAAATGAACAATTCAAAAACCCTGATCAGACAACATTTGTATGTGTTTGTATAGCAGAATTTCTTTCACTTTATGAAACAGAGAGATTGGTACAAGAGCTAACTAAATGTAAAATTGACACACATAATATCATTGTCAATCAGTTGCTATTCAAAAAAGGTGATGAAGACACTTGTAACATGTGTGCTGCTCGGTATAAAATACAGGAAAAATATCTTGATCAAATCAATGATCTGTACGAGGATTTTCATGTAACGAAGTTACCTTTGTTAGAAAAAGAAGTAAGAGGTATAGAACATGTAAAGAAATTTTCTGAGTATTTGATTAAACCATACGCAATCTAGTATTGTTTTGTTAATTTTGTTGTAACTAGGTTAATGTTATTTGTTATAATGTAATAGAATGATTGCAGGATGTAATTTTATGTTTCTATATTTTGTTGTTCATTTGGTATGAGATGTACTTATTTTATTTTCTTTACTAATGTGTATATTTCAGAGGTGATTGAGAAATTTATGAATTATATAAATACCCTTTATCATATATTCTTATTACTAAATCTTGTGATTAGTAGAGGGATTATTAAAAATATCCATTTCTGCAATGTGTGTGATCACCATATAGACACAGATGGAAAAAATGATGAAGATCTGGTGTATAAATCTATATTTTAGAAATATTTTTCTTTAAATATGATGTAAATTATTAAATATAAAAATGCCAATACTTGTATCTTATAGTGCATGAAATATAATAAAATTATTTAAGCACAGTGAACATTCTCTTTAAAATTAATCCAATCTGGCAAACGATTTTCTTTGAAATAAGTCTCTCTCGTTAAAGACTTCATGTTGAGTAGTTCTGTTGCTCCATATAAAGCTCCTAAAACAACATATTCTGTAGGACTACTATAAGCAAAAATCGATTTTTGGGAAGACATTTCGTCTTCCAGTTATTCATTTTTACCAGTAACATTTTAAAAAACCCTTCACCAATCGATGCAAATTGCATGCTTTCTCCTACATTTTCCTAGAGGACAATTCTTGAAGATTAAGGAGTATAATAACTACTCGAAAGTAGGTGTAATTCTATTTCCTTTTGAAGCATTTTCTTGAAACTTTAGACGTATTCAAATTGTGAATGCATCCATTTCCGGCAAAACAATATATAGGTTTTCCATATAATTAAATGTTTAATCGCAACATTAACTTATGAGATAAGACTGATGGATGACAGAAAGACTCCTATAATTTTTACCTGGCATGTATCAAGAGAATCAGAACCGCGTACACTTAAATCCCACTTTTTCAAGAATTGTCCTGCAACCCAAACCTGTAAAAAATGCTCATAGGAGTGCCATATTCGGCGTATTTGTTACTGGTTACTGTAGAATGTAGTAGGAAATGGTGTTGGATTAATTTCCTATATTGAATTTGACAACTTTATCAATCTCCTATAAGGAAATTTTCCCAGCACTCGAAAATTATTGCCCCTGGTATGCTTATGAATCATTTAAAAAAGATACCTACGAAGTATATTTTTTTGTGAATACCATATGTACTTTTAGCCAAATTACCCATTAATCAGAATTTATTCATATTATATTCTGGGTGACCAAATTGGAAACACGGTGTATTTTTTTGGCATAAAGATATCGCTCCAAGATTGGATGTTTAGTTGGGCATTTCTGGAAAGTTGAATGGGTCATCTCTCCCTTCCGGTTTAACCTTGACTTTTATTTTTCAAATGGAAACCTGTATAGTATTTTCTTCCATAATCGTACTGGATGCAAAATTCCCCTTCCAAAGATGTGTCACAAGTGACATTTTCGTTTTAAAACAGTACTATTCATTCGTGTTACACTGCCCCCGACCCGGAATGATCTTACTTGTGGTGGATGTCGATATCGGCACGACTGCCCTTTCTTGCAGTTGGAGTTCTGGAAGAAGTAACAATCCACACTCTTTCCAGGAGGTAGCCGTCTAGGACTGTGAGAACATACCAGAAATCGAATGCCTGTATACCGGAAAACTACATCAAGCATGCTTTTTTTTATATCGAAGCAGCCGCGCAGGCAGAAGCCTAAATGCCGAAACACCGCGGCTGCTATGATGATCCCAAAGAAATTTTGTTAATACGATTTTTGAACTGCCTAAGGTTAGTAGAACTGGGAAAAGCTTCCTCTTGTAGATTGTTCCACAATCTCGACACCCTCGGGACAAAGGAGCGGTCGTATCGGCCAGTTCTGGATGTACGAAGTTCGACACGGTTAGGATGGGACGCCAACGTCGGGCGGGTCTGTCTGGCAGGCACATCGCGCGGCGGCATCATGGAAGAGAGCTCTGAGGAGCAAAGCCCGTTGGTGGAGCGATAGAAAAGAGCTAGATCGCCGACGGCCCGCCGGTGCGAAAAAGTCCCGAGACTGTCTGTTAGAGAAGAGTCATCGATCAGTCGGACCGCGCTCCTCTGGACAGCATCGAACATGGATATTGTAGTCGGGGCGGCAGCACTCCAAACGTGTGAGTAATACTCGAAGCTAGGCCTTATCTGGGCCTTGTATAGAGTGAGGACATGCGGAGAAAAGCACTTCTTAGCCCTAAACAAATAGCCTAACTTTTTCTCAGCAGCTGCAGCTATTGACGAGATGTGTTCGTGCCAGATCAGGTCCTCGGTGATCTAGACTCCGACCAGCCGAAATGAATGGCTCTTTGGCAGAACTCGGCCGTCCATCGAAACTGGATGAACGCTAGGACGCTTTTTGTTCGTCAAAGTACAGTACTATGTCCATTACTTTAGACCCTCAGGACGTCAAGGAACTTGGACTCAAGGCGATTCTCGAGTTCGCTAAAATGGTGAGGCTTGTGATCTAAGGAATGTAGAGGTGCATCAGGGCCCGATTAAGCGGCCTATGCACTGGCTCCTTTGTGGCCGGAATGCCTCTAATTTCAAGATTCATTCATTCACAGTACTGTGTTTTGGAAGCATTGAACTGTACAAGATTGTTGCGTCTCCAAGTAGTGAATTCCTGCATGAAGAGTGCTGTCATCCGCGAAGCTGTGGATTGGGTTGATCGTGCAGGAAAGAAGGTCGTTGATATGTAAGAGAAACAGTGTTGGAGCCAAGATCGATCACTGGGAAACACCCGCGTTGACGTGGGATGAAGAGGAGAACCCGTCAATTACGACGGATATCTTGCGGCCAGAGATAAAGTCAGCCACCCATCTGCAAAGCCTTTCTGGGAGGCCATAGGATGGAAGTTTGCTTAAGAGGCACCGTGCCAGAACTGATCGAGCGCTTTCGTGATGTCAAGACCAACGGCTTGAGCCTCACCATAAGACTGGATGAGTTTACTCCACAATTGCGTGACGTAAGCGAGGAGGTCCCTGTAGATCGTTGGTGCCGTAAACCATACTGCCTGTCGCTAATCAAGCTGTGACGTTCAAGGTAGTCCAGAAGCTTGCGATTTATGCACCTCTCCATCACCTTACTTATACTTGGGCGTTGGGGGGGACGTCTATGGTGGAGTTGTCAGCAAAGATCTTGGCTAGCACTTCCGCCTTGGCCTTTGAGTCGAATACAATAGTTCCATCCTGACACGTAAGTGGTGGAAGGTTACTGTGTGAGAAGTTCTTTGCAATCTGCTTGGCCAGGGTCCAGAAAGACCGACTGCCATTGCGCTGCGACATTACCTTAACTTTTATATCGTGCTGGTTTTTTGGCATTGTGAACCGCTTCATTATATTTGTTTCTGGATTCGACGTCGGCTTGTCTGTTCTCTACAGTGGGGTTTGTAAGAAGGTTCTGTGTGCCATGATCTTCTGCTGGCGAGCAGTGTCACACGATTTGTTAAACCAGCCGTTGGACCCTGGTTTAGGCACTTGCACTGTGTGATGGATGTATTTCTCCATTCCGACGTGGAAAGTTTCTATTATCGAAGAATAGACAGTCGCGTCACTGAAACAGACATCTCTCCAAGGAAAGCTAGAGAAGAAGTCTCTGAGCCCCACCAGTCGGAATATCCGTAATGCCAAGTTTTGCGGCCTGTACGAGTTTCTGCTGCCACAGCGGGTTCTGACCGAAACCTAACCTCCACAACACCGTGGTCTGAGTTACCCAGGGGGGGACAGGACAGCAGTGTTGTAAGGGACAGGATGCGTGGTCAGAAAGAGATCCAGCAGTCTACTGCTGTGTGACGAGACGCGGGGGAAAAAAGTAGGACTCGTCACCAGCTGTGTCAGCCCTTGAGTAAGAGCGAACGCTTCGACTGCACGACCTGCATCGGTCTTGTTTGAGCCCAACCAAAGCTTATTATGGGCATTGAAATCACCGAGAAGAACTACCTCTGAAGCGGGTGGAGGGTGGGCTCGAGGGAACAACATAGAAGATAAAATTTGTTTTTCGAACATCTGCGGGATTAACAGCAACATTGATGCTGTCCATCACTACCTGAAATCTAATCGTCCCGCCGTGCTTTTCTTGGCGGAGACAAAAATCTCAGAGTCTGCACCGATTAACCATCAACTTCCCAAACTACGAGGTGCACTCCAATCAGAGAAAGAACGGAGGAGTCCCCTCATGCTTCGGATGAATCTCCAGTCCAGATTGTCCAGTCCACATGCCGGCTTAGGTATTGCCAGTTTTCTCAGGTCCTCGGCAAGCAACACTTCTCTAAGAGAATACAAAGCGTTTCAGACATCCTCGAAATTCGGTTTCTGATACGAAGCTTTCTTGATAACCAGATACAAGATCTTTCGGTTGGTACCCTCTTAGTTATCTGGAGTACTTCTACTTCCGGGTCAGATTGTCGCAGCTCGTGCACTTTTCTAAACTTCCTAAGAAAGACCTTTGCTATACCTCTCGACATTCGCAAGTCTCGAGCCACACAGTGTGCCACGGCATACTCTGGTGAAGTGGTAAACAGATTTTGCTGTACTTCACAATTCACGCCAGAACGACTCTTATGGACATTAGCATGGTGAGCCCTAAATTGGTAAAATGTCATTTCAGACTCTCGTTGGATTTGCCGCACCGCCGCATCTTCGTTGTTTCCATAATAAGGTGCAAGGCGGTTGAAATGTACAATTCGGGCTTTACCGCGTGGTGCCTTCTGAATCCTGTAGAGAACATCGTTGATGGCCTCCAGAACTTTATATGGCCCGTCCCCTCTTTGGGTCATAAAGCCAAACCGTATCACCGTTGTCATACCTCTGGGCTTTGGCATTAACGGCATAAGCTTCCTTCATCCGGTCGCTGGCACCTTGAATTGAAACACGAACCTGGCTATGGATGGCGTCCATTCTTCTACGCAGCTCACTTACGTAGTCTTCTCCGGCAACATCAGTTCCTGGTGGATAGCCAAACTTTAGATCGCATGGGAGACGAAGTTCTCTTCCCATAACTATTCGAGCCATGGTCTATCCTGTGCTTTCATGAATCGACGATCGGTAAGCCAACAAGAGGAGGTGAAGAAAACTATCCCAGTCTCTTTGATGGCTAGAGACTACCTTAGCCAAATACCGGTTAACACGTTCAGTGCGAACAGCGTCAAAAGACGCCCTCCGCTCCTGTGGTGGGAGGCGAACGGCGTCGTTCGACGCTCTTTGCCGGCTTCCAAAAAAAGGATAAAAGTATTTCAGTTTCTGAGGTGGGTATCCTCATCCCAGTTCGCAGTCAATGTGTTAATGATCATATTCATGCGTTACACCATTCCATTTGACTGCGGGTGTAAGGCAGTAGTCCTAGTCTTAATCCCAAGGATTTGACATATTTTGGAACAGAGTTAACTCGAAATTGCGCGCTTGGTCCAAATGTAATTCCAAAGGTATTCTAGATCGATAGACCCATTCCTTTACTAAAGCATCGGCTACCGTAGAGGCTTCCTGATTTGGCAGAGCGTATGCCTCAACCCACTTGCTGAAGTAATCCATTACCACAATGATGTATCTATTCCCTGCTTCACTTTCTGGAAAGAGTCCCGCCACATCAATAGCAATGCTTTCAAAGCGGCTCCCCACGTTGTATTGGCGCATCGAAGCTTTTGGTTTCCTTTGCGGTCCATTACTTGTCACACACACACAACGCATTTTATGCACCAGTCTCTTACGTCCGGCTTGCTATTGACCCAGTAAAATCTTTCCCTCACTTTTCCCCAGGGTTTTTGTAACTCCGAGATGAGCTCCTGATACACCGGAATGTATTTCCTCTAGCAGCTTCGGGATCCGACATCTGGGCATAACGATTTGCCTTCTTTCCTCTTTGCCGTCGTGGTCCACCATTTTACGCAGTAAGAGTCCGTCGTCCATAACTAGAGAATTCCATTGTGCCCAATATGATTTTATGGTAAGGGAATACTTTGCAACTTTTTCCCAGGCTGGTTTCCGTTGTTATTTCATCCAGTTCAGAATTATTTGCAGATCGGGGTCGCCCTCTTAGTCTTTAATGAGGTCTTCATTTTGTCAAGTATCACTAACGATAGAGGTTCTTAATACTTGGGCCTCTTTCTCCTCTGCCCGCTCGCAATGCTTACAATCATCTAAACAACTTGCTATTCTGGCGGCGACGTTTACCATCAAGTTCCTTAACAATGCGCTTGACGGACTCTTCTAACTCGTTATCTCCTGGTACCATCTGGCGGACGCGGACTTGGCTTTTATTTGAGTTTTTAGCGGCTTAGAATTCTAAAGCCCAGGTTAGCGCATCTACTAGCTTAGGTGGATGTACTAGTAGTATGGCTAGCCTCAATTTACCATCACGAAGTCCATCCCGGAATGCTTGAACTGCCAAGTCGCTCCATTATCCTTTCCCGAACATCGGGATATGCTAATCGTACCAACCGCGCAATATCCGCTTCGAACTCATGCAAGGACTCGTCTGACTTCTGGAACAGATTCTTTAGTTGAGTATGGTAGACATGTTCTAAATGTGACTGTCCATATCGCATCTCCAAATAACCTACTAGCTGTTCGTAGACCTCTTGCTTTTTGGGTGATAGTCTTTGAAGAATAGCTGCAGCATCTCCTCGCAGGGATGACCAACCATTTGCATTCCCGGCTGCCTCAAACCGACGCCGGTGGGCATTCCAAGGCGTTGTACGATCAAATTGCGGCGGTTTCATTCGCAGATGACCAGCTGACCCAACAGAAGCTCCAACCTCACTTGATTTTTCCAACGGGAGTCCACGCTGTCGTTCGTCGATGGTCTTGACGTCTTGCCTTGCACTTCTTGAATTCTGTCCTCCAGAGTTTCTAAAATCCGTTTATAAAACTCGAAAGATTTTTACATAATTTTATCTTCCAATTCTTTTTTGAATTGCCAGTATTTTACAAAAACTTCTTTTCTAATTTGGCTGTATTTTCGTGTAACTCCTAAGAGTTTTCCTTCTCCTTTGGCACAATTTTCCACGAGCCTATTTTCTAACTTGGCTGAGTTTTCTAAAAGATCGGCACAATTTTCCATGAGTTTTCCTTCTAGGTTGACTCAATTTTCCACGAGCTTGTTTTCTAACTTGGTCGAAAGATTTTGCAGCATTAAACCAATATCCCCTGCACCGGTAAAAATGAAAATATCCGTGTCCTCGCCTTCCTCAATCACTGCTTTACGAAGCTGCTCCTGTAATTCCACTTTCTTTCCAGCCGTGTCGCACTCTCTTTCCTCCAGCTCTCTTTTTGAATCGGCAAGTTTCAAATCAAGCAATCGCGCCATCTTCCGTTGCTGATCGTCCGATTTATTTTCACTAAATATCCAATAATCCACATCCCACACCTGACACCAATGTAGCGTTTTTCCGGGTTCTTTTGGGTGTGGATTAAAACGCTGGATTCCACAAAAAGAAATGCACTAATATATTTAAAACACAACACAACTACCTTTAACTTAACTAGATAGAACATTTATGTACACCATTATTTACGTCTGACTACTTATTTACGAATTATTATGTCTCGCCATTATCTCAACTCTACTCTGCTTCCCTCTCCCGGCCGTCGACTTATACCTGTATAATCCGTATGATTCGAGAAGGTTCCGGTGAGCCACATAGCGGCAGTCCAGAATCTTCGAGGTCACTTCGCGCCGATCTCGAATAAGAGTCCCTGGCGCGGTCCCCAACAGATGGCGCCAACATTACTATTCATTCTTGTTGCAATATTATCCTCTTCTACCCTATTATACCTATTTTGCTCAACTATTGTAGTTATAAAAAATATTACAAAATTAAGAACTAAAAACTATTAAACATTCATATTAAAGCTAATACAGCTCAATGCGCGTCCTCCATTATTTTCGTAGCATTTATTGACCCTTCTTAAGGTTTCTATATGCCTATTGTTTAAAAAATCTTCAGATAAGGTGTTATTTGTTGCCTTATTTGCTGTTCTAAATCTAACAGATTTATAGGAGGCGTGACATAAACCTTCTCCTTCAAGTAGGTCCTAATGAAAAAGTCTAAAATGGTCAAGTCGGGTGATCGTGGGGGCCATCTAATAGGACCGTTTGTTCCTATCCAACGATTCCCGAATCTATCCGTTGAATATCTTGTAACTTATCTGCTGTTGTGGGCGGGCGCCCCAGCTTGTTGAAGTTCAACAACCCTATTGTCAGCCAGGGGCAAACCATCAAGAAAATCTTCTATTTCATTTTGCAAAAAAGTTAAGATAACATCCCCTATTTAGGGTTCATAAGAAAATATAGGACCAACTATGCGGGTTCCCAGAACTACATGCCATATGTACACTCCAAAACGGTCCTGAATCTTATCAAACGTGGATTTTCAATTGCCCAGTAACGTGTATTATTTTTATTAAATAACCCAAGATTTGTGAAATGCAATTCATCAGACCACAAAGTATGGTAAAGAAAATTTCGCTCTTCTTGGAGTTGAGCACGAAACCAGTTTCTTGGAAAATCATTTTCCTATAAGTGATGGTGTACTTGATATTTATATGTGCGGAATCCATGTTTCTTCAAAATCTGCCTAGCTGACTCACGATTTACATTTGTTGCTTGTTCCAGTTACCTAGTAGATATTGTTGGGTCAAACTGAACATATGCCAAAAAACATTTATCTCCGCTTCTTCGCTTACTACGAAAGAATTCTCTTCATTACCATTGACACCCTCATTTCTAAACTTTGCTTCTAACTTGAAAAAGTATGAATAACTTGGATGTCTTCTTTTAGGATATTGTTGAGCATACAATGCACAAGCATTTTTAGAATTTTTTCTGCATTCACCAAATATTAATAGCATATCAACTTACTCGTTTCTTGTAAAACTCAATGGTAAAAAAATACTGTAGGTTTACCTTTTATAGAATAAGAACAAGTGAAAATAAATTTAAGTGTAATGTAGATTGCCAAATGTCAAATAACTAAGCAAAATAATGGGTATGCTATGAATTGATTTCATTTGTTTTCCACAGCCTACTATTCTTTTCAAATAAATGCTATTTGAAAACATGATAAATTTTCATAGCCTCCTTACTTTCTTGCGGCGATAGGTAGCTTCTATGAAATAGTTGTAATTTTAATTTGTTACTAAACCAGTAGTTAGCTTGCAGAACACCATTGGAAGTGCGTTTTCATTTAGGGCAATTGTAATATGGAGGTTAATTCACAAATTCTTTTATGCAGCTGTAATTTGACAACAAAAGCAATATTTGTTATACATCATTGAATCATTAAGGTTAAGTTGAAAAACGGTAATCTTAGCGACACTTCGCCTTTTTTGTACTTTTACTTAGGTACGAAATAAAGCCCATTTATTATTATTATTATTATTTTTTTTCAAATATGTATACTAACATGAAAAACACATAATTACAAGCTTTCATTTATTTAGTCCATTTAAATAGACATTATTTGTTGATCATAATGACCAACTCAACTTGTACCAATCTTGGAGTGATTTCTTTATTTAATTTTCATTGTCACCCAATATACTGGAGCATTCTCCATTATAATTTAAAATTAATTAAATTATACTTACCACCCAAAAATGCTGCATAATTTTCCTTACAAGGGAGGCTATGGAATGCAATAGTACTGATATTCAACTTGCTATATCTGTTGTTTTTCAACTGCATTTCAAGCTCTTCCTTCAAACGTGCTTTAAAACCAGGTACCATGACAGACCCACCAATAAGGACTATATTGCCCATCAACTTCTGGCGTAGATCCCTATCCACTTGAAGAAGTGCATCTAGGATCATGGTAGAGAGGCAAAGATGGTCATTGTCCTCTTCATAAAGTAGTTCAAATGCCCGCTCTCGTACTTTTCCAGTTACTGTCATATGTTCTGCTCCTCCTACAGCCAATGTATAATATGTTTAGTACGAGACTATCAAAAAGGGTAATTTGTTTAGTTAGGTCTCGACCCGCCAGCGCTCCTTTATAAATAAATTCCTCAAGACATAATTTAGCTTAACAACTCTCACAATACACAAATCATTGTTTGATTTATTGAAATACTTCATGGACCTGAGTGCCTAGCGGAGGAGCTCGGGGAAAAATGAGTAGCTGAAAAAATAATGAGCAAAATGAGTCCGCTGACACCCTGTCAGCTCAACTTGACACATTATAGCCTAACAGATTCTGACATACTCATAATATACTGAATACTTCCAGATGTCATTGCCTTCCACAATGTTGCCTGGTGCTCCTTCATAATAATCTTGTGGGAGTTTTCTTAGAGGGATGCGTTTGCGTGATATCCAAATGTACTTTTATTGGCTGTAGTGCATGGTATAATGTATGCAACCACTAAACTGATTTTGATGGAGGTTGGGGAGCATTTTTTTATTTGAACCAATACTCACAGCATGTCTACAGATATTTACATTTTTAATAATAATTGCAAAAAACCCAAATGTAGTAACTGAAAAGAATGAGTTTTTAATTATATCAAGACGAATCTAAGGATACATCAAATGTCAAAATCTATCAAGCTGTTTGGTCTGTAGCCAAATGAACGAGAAATTTTAAGGCTGAAGTTTCATATCCGCCATTTTGATTTTACGAAATTTTGATATCCAGTGTCACTTGGGCTGTCAAGGAATCCAGAGACACATTGTATGTCAAAATCTATACAGTTATTTAAGCCATACCCATACAGCACATAAAAAGGAATTTCAAGGTCAATTTGTTCATTAAAATCAGACATTTTGTTTTAATAAAATTTTAATAAAGCCAGTGTCACTAGCAAAACCAAGATGAATACACCCATTTAAGCTGTAATCCCTGAAATAGGAATTTCAAGGTTGAACTCTTTTATTAGAATCTGCCATTTTGTTTTTATAATACAGCCAATGTCACTAGCACTGCTAAGGCGAAACCATCAAAATCTCATATTTGAAAATCCATCAAGCTATTTAAGCGGTAGCCTGTGAACTAGGTCTTTTAAGGGCGATTTTTTTATTAAAATCCATTTTCTGTTTACAAAGTTTTAATAAGCAGTGTCACTCTTACTGCTATGATGAATCCAACAACACTGCATATGTCAAAACCCATCAATATATTTGCCACATGCTAAAAACATTACCCTCCTTCAGAGGCAGTCAGGTAAAAATGACTATAATTTTCAGAAAAAGTGAGTGTGTGTTATTCTTCATTACTCATTATTTCTGGAATAAATTTGCAAGATTCATAGTATAGTTGACATGAAATTCTTTGTTCTCAAAACTTTACTATTTAAGAATATCTACCTATAGGATATTTGACATCTGGACAAGTAGCAATTTCTGGTTTTGCAGATCCCAACTGGTCAGCTCTATACTTCTTTGTAACAAAGCAACATCTAACCTTAATATTCTCCAATGTAGATTCAGGAAGATCTTGTATACCTGTGTTACTACTACTCAATAATGTCCTTAGGTTACTACAAAATGGTTTTCAATTAACTAAAGCAGTATGTTGGCAAACAAATTGCTTACTTATGTATAGCTTCACCACCAAGTGGTAATGCTTGCCAAGCTTTAACCACTGGGAAACTATAGCATATTGGTATGACAACAGCTTCTTTATATCCAACATCTACTACCATGGCTGAATCAATTGCTAAGGATGCTAAACAGACCAAATGTGAAGGAAGAATAAACATCATAGACATCTCATAATGATAAAATAGGACCTAAAATAAGATATGCATAAGCTCTTGATAAAGATGAATTTAAGTCAATCTAACTTTTGCTAATGTTTCTCTGAATGTTGTGGGGCATAGCAAGGATTCGACGATTATGACTGGTTTATCCTTCGGACTTAACAGAGCGTATTTGAAGAATATAACATGGATAAAATCCACCAGTAGGTCATACAGATCCTCTGCAGATTCATAGTCCCATATTCTCCTCAGCTTTTTTGTTTTGCTGCATAATACTTCCGATGTTATTATACTCCTTGGAGAGAATTCTCCAGTAAATCCAAATCTATAAAAAACACGGTAAATAATGTCTCATTATAAATGAATTTTGTACAATATCTTACTTTGTATATGCAGCTCCGATGTCCAGCACCACTGATAATTTGTCGCTACTTAATGATTCATAAATAGGCATTTTTCTTTGATATACCGTGTTTTAATAATCGCTGGTGTTGAATGTTCGTTTTAAAATATTTGTGTTCAGAAAATAGTACCAAGTGTTTTGTTGGTTTCTAGTTTTTAAGGTTAAATTTTTTGACATATTTTTGACACGAGTTGCCGAATGTAGGCAATCCGTTATGCACTTTTTCGAATGCCTGGTTGCCACTTGTATCCTTTTTACACAGAACATTTGCGGCCTCTATGCAAAGTTACTAAAAAACAGGATTTTCATTTTTTTTGGTGAAATTCTCATCAATAGAAATAAGGGAGCAAACCATCACAGATATCCACACAAAGGAAAAAATATTGCCTCTATTGATTTTGATGATGAATGTGCATTTAGCTGCAGAATATTAATTTGAGTGCCTTTTTGCTGACTACAAGTCAATGTATAATATACTACAGCACTGTTAATTTCCCTCCTTATGTCCCCACCAAGTAATGGTTACAATGGTTACCTTGAGGTTTTTCGTCTTAATTCTCAACGGGGGCTTATTCCAGAACTGAAAAAGAACCATGAGATCAAGATGAACAATTGTAGATCTTCGATCCATCCACATATATCTGCTGCCACTGCCCTTGATGCTCGCAAAATGTTGAACCTAAATTCGTTGCCTGCGAAACAGCGTTGATATTGGGAAAAGTAAATCTTACCTTAGCTCAAGAAAACAAGTCCTGGAGGCCACATAAAAGATTTGTAGTATAAATAACAAAGACAGGTACTTCTTCAAATCATGATTTTCCCATAAATGTATAACGAAAAGCTGTCAGAGCTCCCCATTTGACCTTTGATGTTGAAAACCACACTCAGTATTTGTTGCTCATCAGGTAGAGGCATCCAAGGTATTTGGTGTTGCCGTAGGTCTTTCAGGATTTCCCACATTGCTTGATAGGTCGAAGGCTGATGATAAGCTGCCCTGGTGACCATCACGTTGATATGAATCCGGAACACCTATACCCTTCCGGATTCAGTAGACGACGTCATTGATACTCTTCAGAACCTCGTAAGAACCTTCCCAGGATCGTTGCAGCGTTAGTTAAAGGCCTTTCTTCCATTGGAGGCTATTCAGTCACTCCAGGTCGCCCTGTTGATGGCTACCCTCTTCGGCACGGACGTCGTAAAGGTCGATCCTTCATCCAGTCACTCGCAATTTTGATCTGACTGAGCACTTCCCCATAGATTTCGGCTTTGCGTCTCTCTAGGGTGGATACGTAGTCGTTATCTACCACTTCCGCTCCAGGTCGACTTCCAAACTGCAAGTCAGAAGGTAGCCGGAGCTCACGCCTGAACAACACTTGCGCTGGCGTATGGCCCATTGACTAGTAAACTGCAGACCGATACGCCATCAGAAGCATGGAGAGATACCTGCCCCAATCAAGCTGGGCGTTGGATAGTACCTCTGACAAGTATTTTCTGATCGCCTGGTTCATCCTTTCCACCAGCCCGTCGGATTGGGGGTCGTCCTAATGTTCAGCTTCTCGCAGACTCATTTGAACAGCTCGCTCTCAAAGTTCCTGCCCTGGTGGGAGTGCAGCTCTAGTGGGACGCCATATTGGCCGATGATATCGTCAACGAGAACGTTCGCAACTATCCTCGATTTCATTAAATATTTGTTAAATATTTAAAAAAAATGTTTGTTTAATATTTGTAGCGACAGATTTTTTAATATTTAATAAATATATTTCTTATATATATATATATAATATCTATAGGTAATGAATATTTTATAAATATATATATATATATATATATATATATATATATATATATATATATATATATTTATAAAATATTCATTACCTATAGATATTTGTAGTATATATAATTCATATATTTTTGCAATATTTTCCCAAAATACTTAGAAAATATATGAGGAAAGATTTTTTAAGATATTTTGATGAAATATCTAATATTTTTCGTAAATATGTATAAACTTTCAAGCATTAATCTGATACAAATTTTCACTGTATATAGAAAATTCTTTATTGGTTATTTTAGCAAAATCTGTAGGAATGCTTATATAAAATTGGGTTTATAAAGAAAATTCATTATTGATATAATGGTTTAATTTGCTAGAAAAATATAATTAAAAAAACATTCTAAGCCTCTTCTGCATCTTGCAAGTTCACTCCTCTGAAAAAAAAAACTTACTAATTATGAAGTATTATTGAATACCTACATAAGCTGTTTTACGGTGTATTTATGGGAATATAAAATGTAGTGGAACAATATTGGTGCTGAGCATGCTTTAGTAAGGGAGCTAACTTAGCCATAAATATTTTGTGATATTATATAGTTGAATGTTTACCATTGATCGCTATGGAGTCGTATTCGATTGAAGACCGCATTAAGGTTATTCAAGAGCACTACAAAAATGGTGCAAAAATAAAAAACATGTTTCGCGCGCTTCGTGAACATTTCGGGCGCAACAACCGCCCAAACGAAACAACCAACGGTGCGTAAATTCGAGGCAACAGGTTCTGTGGCAAATCTGCCAGGCTCTGGCCGACCAAGGAGCGTTCGCACACCGGAAAATATTGCTGTTGTGAAGGAGAGTGTGAGAGACGATCCGAAACAATCAACAACGCGTCGATCCCAAGAATTGGGCATTTGGAGAACCAGTTTGCTCCGCATTCTCGACAAGGATTTGAATGTACACGCCTACAAGATCCAATTGACGCAAGAGCTGCGTCGGGCCGACCATTTTTCGCGCTTAACGTTCTCAGATTGGCTCCTTGAACACCGCCAAATTGATGCCAATTTTTCATCAAAAATCATGTTCAGCGGCGAAGCGCATTTCACTTTGAATGGGACGGTAAACAAGCAAAACTGCCGCATCTGGGCGAGCGAAAATCCCCGTGAGTATCAAGAGCAGCCGATGCATCCTCAAAAAGTGACTGTGTGGTGTGCATTGTGGTCAAAATGCATCATCGGACCTTAGTTTTTCGAAAATGCGGCCGGGGACGCCGTTACCGTCAATTCTGAGCGATATCACGTGATGATAGAGGACTATTTTTTGCCGCAACTTGAAGGAATGGATATGGACGATGTTTATTTCCAACAAGACGGTGCAACATGCCACACAACCAACGTCAATATCCATCGATTGCAGTCCTTCTTCGGTGATCGCGTGATTTCGCGCAGAGGAAATGTGCCATGCCGCCAAGATCGTGCGATTTGACTCCCTTGGACTTATTTTAATGGGGATATTTGAAAAGCAAAGTCTACGTCAACAAACCAGCCACCCTCCAAGAACTCAAAAACAACATCATTGCCGAGATAAATGCCATAGAACCGACCATGTTGCAAAATGTCATTGAAAATTTCGACCATCGCGTGGACGTCTGTAAATCCAGTCGTGGTGAACATTTGAGCGATATTATTTTCATACAATAATGGTATAAATAAACCTTCAAAATGAAGTACCCAACTTGATTTGAATATCAATCTTTCTTGTTTTAATATGCGTTTACTTTCCTGCGTCCGTTTTGGACAACCCCATATTATAATTCAAGGGACAAAAGTATAGTATTTCCAAATGTTAAAATGTTTGAACGTACTACGACAAAAATAATAATAATAATTGAGATATTTAAAAAAGCATCTTTGATGTATCTCGATCATGTTGCGATTATATGTATTTTCATTGCGATGTTATGAACATAATTTTTGTAAGTATTCTCAGATAAATCCACCAATACCAAATAACTGTTACTCTTCAAGGCTAGTTATTTATGGTTTTGTGAAGACCTTTATACTCAGCTGGCACAATAATGTTTACTAGTCAGATAAATTAAGCTATGTGATTATCGAAAAACTTTTCCCTTTTCCACAAAAAAGCACTCAAATAATGAACCACATGGAGGTACCTACACAGGAAGCGCGCTATCATAGTGAAAGTCACAGGTAAAATGGATGTCGGCAAACGGGTCGCCTCAGGCCGGCTTGCTATTATTCCATTGGTCGCTCGAGAACACACGCACATGCGCCGTAGCCGAAAATACTTAATAAATATTTTCTAAATATTGGAGATTTAATATTTCCCATTGATTGAAAAGTAAATATTTAATGAATATTATAAAAGAGATATTGTATTTAAAATATTTAGCAGATATTGAATAAGTATTTAATAAAAATATTATATTACAAATATTTATTAAATATTTGTTTAAGAAAACAAATATTTAAGTAAGATAAAAATATTAAATAAATATTTAATGAATATTTCGTGCTATCTGGGATGGCAGCTTCTTGGTTGGGAATAGCGTACGCCTATTTGTTCTTATTCTCCGATTCTAGAAACGATCTCAATCATACACATACCGACTTCTATCCTGCTATAGCACTGAACCTACTAGCACAGTAGCATGGGGGTACGGATGGCGGTGGGTCGATGTTGCTTTTCTCTTTTTGCCGCAACTTGAAGGAATGGATATGGACGATGTTTATTTCCAACAAGACGGTGCAACATGCCACACAACCAACGTCAATATCCATCGATTGCAGTCCTTCTTCGGTGATCGCGTGATTTCGCGCAGAGGAAATGTGCCATGCCGCCAAGATCGTGCGATTTGACTCCCTTGGACTTATTTTAATGGGGATATTTGAAAAGCAAAGTCTACGTCAACAAACCAGCCACCCTCCAAGAACTCAAAAACAACATCATTGCCGAGATAAATGCCATAGAACCGACCATGTTGCAAAATGTCATTGAAAATTTCGACCATCGCGTGGACGTCTGTAAATCCAGTCGTGGTGAACATTTGAGCGATATTATTTTCATACAATAATGGTATAAATAAACCTTCAAAATGAAGTACCCAACTTGATTTGAATATCAATCTTTCTTGTTTTAATATGCGTTTACTTTCCTGCGTCCGTTTTGGACAACCCCATATTATAATTCAAGGGACAAAAGTATAGTATTTCCAAATGTTAAAATGTTTGAACGTACTACGACAAAAATAATAATAATAATTGAGATATTTAAAAAAGCATCTTTGATGTATCTCGATCATGTTGCGATTATATGTATTTTCATTGCGATGTTATGAACATAATTTTTGTAAGTATTCTCAGATAAATCCACCAATACCAAATAACTGTTACTCTTCAAGGCTAGTTATTTATGGTTTTGTGAAGACCTTTATACTCAGCTGGCACAATAATGTTTACTAGTCAGATAAATTAAGCTATGTGATTATCGAAAAACTTTTCCCTTTTCCACAAAAAAGCACTCAAATAATGAACCACATGGAGGTACCTACACAGGAAGCGCGCTATCATAGTGAAAGTCACAGGTAAAATGGATGTCGGCAAACGGGTCGCCTCAGGCCGGCTTGCTATTATTCCATTGGTCGCTCGAGAACACACGCACATGCGCCGTAGCCGAAAATACTTAATAAATATTTTCTAAATATTGGAGATTTAATATTTCCCATTGATTGAAAAGTAAATATTTAATGAATATTATAAAAGAGATATTGTATTTAAAATATTTAGCAGATATTGAATAAGTATTTAATAAAAATATTATATTACAAATATTTATTAAATATTTGTTTAAGAAAACAAATATTTAAGTAAGATAAAAATATTAAATAAATATTTAATGAATATTTCGTGCTATCTGGGATGGCAGCTTCTTGGTTGGGAATAGCGTACGCCTATTTGTTCTTATTCTCCGATTCTAGAAACGATCTCAATCATACACATACCGACTTCTATCCTGCTATAGCACTGAACCTACTAGCACAGTAGCATGGGGGTACGGATGGCGGTGGGTCGATGTTGCTTTTCTCTCGAAAACCTAAGTTGAAGCTTCGTACTGCATTATGCATATGATCAAGTTACAAGTAATGACTATATCGTAATCCGTTGAAATATTATCAGCCAACATCAGTATTTTAACTTTTTTGTTCTAACGATGATACATCATTGAAGAAGAATGGATAAATCAGGTTTTGCTTGTGACATCGGAACATAAACATCTGTCAGTTACGAAGGATATCTTGCGGCCAGAGAGGAAGTCAGCCTCCCATCTACAAAGCTTATCTTATAGACCATAGGATTAAGGTTTGTGTGAGAGGGCATCATGCCGCAGCTGATCGAAAGCTTTCGTGATATCAAGGGCAACGACATAAGCATCACCATACGATTGGATGAGATTACTCGACAGTTGCGTGCCGAAAGCTAGGAGGTCCCCGTGGACTGCTGGTGCCGGAAACCATACTGACCTGTGCCTAATGAAGGTTCAAGGTACCCCAGATGCTCCCGATTGTATACCTTTCTATGCCTTACCTATAACAGAAAGCAGGGCTATAGCTCTGCAGATGTAAAGGATGGTCTTAGATCATTTTACTTCGCCATTGGGTGAAGAGATAATGTAATTGCGAAAAATGTTATTGTATAACATTTACATTACGAAAAACTAGTCATAACTCATTTCCGTTGGTCTGCCGGTCTGTCTGCCCCACTGTCGGTCTATCTGTCTGTCGGTCTGTCTGTTGGTCTGTCCATGTGTTTTTCGGTCTGTCTGTCTGTATGTCGGTCTGTCTGTCTGTCGGTCTGTCTGTACTTCGGTTGACTTCCCTGTACATATGCTTGTAAAGATTACTATGATAGAGAAAAGGTTTGGATCCCCGTACTCCTGCTAGCTAAGCTCACCGCCTGGTGACCCGGTCCGGCTCACTAATCTATTCCTACTGCAGCGCAAAAACATACACGGGCTAATGAACCATGCACGAAATGAACGATAGTGAAATAATGTCTATGGACTAATTATAGGGGCCTGTTTGACTAACTTAATCCGTTTAATTTCTCTGTTGCTCGTGGCTGATTTTTTTCTCAGACGATTTAAATTGCGCTGCATTTAATCCTTTATAAACGGATGACGCCGTTGCGTAGGAAGTGTAGAGGCTGGACATGAGCAAATTTCCAGTTTGCTGGCAAAGGGCCGGATTCATAAGATATCTGGAAGAGATGCGAAAGAACTGGAGCAAGCTCCGCTGCACGTTTCTTCGGTACAACAGCAGGAATCAAGTCAGGACCAGAAGTCGGGCAACAAGAGCACCAGTTTTTACGGTCTTATCCCTGAAGGTTCCTTCTCGCAGCCTTTGAGTCGACGGTACTGGGACGCTGGGCGACGTTGGCATGCAGCTTCGCCTTAGACTTTGGGTTGGCTACCATCGTTCCATCCTGGCACGAAAGATGTGGAAGGCTGCTATTTGAGAAGTTTCCTTCAGTCTGCTTACGCAGTATCACAAAAAGCTGGATGTGACTGAAACAAAATTATTTCTTTTTTACAGGAGGGTACACTTAACATAACCAAAATTTCGTGTTACTAGCTTACCAGTGTAATTATTCCGATACAATATTTTTATTTTTATGCGGTATGAGGGGATCAATTATTGTTTTATCCAAGATTTATCTTATCTGATGGACTGGATATAATATGATAATATTTCTATATCTCATTTATAATCACTTTTTATCAGTGTATTGGATGCGTTTAGTGCACGTATTAGCGATGGCTCGGAGTACAATAGACGTGGACAAAATAATTTCTAGGCTGACAGCCAAAGAAGGTAAATAACAAGTTTAGCAAGTTTATGAATTATTAACATTGTAACTCAAATATTCAACCTTATGTTTAAGTGTAGCTTATTGTCAATTTTAAATGAAATATGTCAATAAAACTTAAATCAGGCGTCATACTTATAGTCATAGTTATAAAAAATGTCAGATGGGAGGAGATACAGTACTTTATCTGGAAAGTAATGAAAGCTAATGACCTGCCTATAGACGAAAAACATAAAATGAAAGAATATTTGTTATTCAATTTGCATACAAAAGGTTTTTATATTTTAGTACGAGAAAGCAAAAAAATGAAGATGATCAATTTAGACGAATGTGATATTAGAGCATTGTGTCATAAGGCAAGAAATATATTCATGTCTCAACCTATGTTACTGGAACTAGAAGCTCCTATCAAGATTTGCGGTAAGAGAAAAATAAAAAAATAAAGTATGTTAAGCTTAAGGCTATATTAATTCACGAAATATTTTTAAAGGCGTACTTGAAGGTCTATTGATTCTTTTATTGAAACATATTTTTGTATCCAGCCAAATATATTTCAGGCGATATCCACGGCCAGTTTATGGATTTATTAAAGTTGTTCACTTTTGGGGGATTTCCACCAGAAGCAAACTACCTCTTTCTCGGAGATTACGTGGATAGAGGGAAACAGTCAATTGAAACGATGTGTTTGCTATTAGCTTATAAAATAAAACACCCAGAAAACTTTTTTCTACTCAGAGGAAATCACGAGACTGCCACAGTTTGTAAAATATATGGATTTTTTGATGAATGTGAGTATCCAAAAAGTGTTTTCCTATAAGCTTTAACAATTTGAGCTTAACATCATTTAAAAATTAAGGCAGCTTATCTAACATCACTTAGTCATTAGTTATTCTGTTTCCTATGTCTATTCTATTTTCCTCTTTATTTGCATAAGAAGATAGCACGATGTAGCGACATAAATCAATTGAGTACAAGGAATAGAACTATGCCAGTGATACCCTTGCATTCTAAAGCTGTCTACAAAGAATATCATTTAGTTTCAACGCTATCAACTTATATAATGACCTACCTTCTGTTACGTTCCAAAATTACACACTACATATTTAACTTCAAAAAGAGACTTAAACTAAAACTACACGCCGATCTGATGATAAACACAAAATGCTGGAAACAAGGACTGTTCTTGGAATTGCTTATATTTATTTGTGTTAATTACTTAGTTACTACTGAGTAATATCCATACATTCGTATTATTATTATTAGATATTATTATTATGATTATCATTTACAGGTAAAAGAAGATACACAACTAAGCTATTTAAAACGTTCACAGACCTTTTCAATACGCTTCCGGTTGCAGCTATAATCGATGACAAAATTTTCTGTTGTCATGGTGGTTTGAGCCCGGACCTGTTATACATCGGACAAATACGAAATATAGAAAGGCCCACAGAAGTACCTTGTCAGGGTAACTATGATATCTCAATAGGCACTATCAACCAACGCATTCGAATATGTGGAGGAGCTATATATGTTACATATGTTTCAAATACTAACTTGGCATTTGGGATCTCGGAAGCGGTAAAGCAAATGTCACACGATCAGTATTTACTGAGGTCCATACCATCAGTGTCATAGGGGAGGGAAATAGTCCGTCTCATATGGATACCAGGACACACAGAGTAGGCTTGAGACATACGACTCTTTTCTCTGAGCTCGCTCATTTCGTTCATCTCTCTTCAGTGAGTCGTTCATTCGGAGTCGTTCATTTGAACGATAGAATTACCGTCCGGCCTCGAAGCTGACGAGAGTATTGTGTTGCCTATAGTAACGACTCACTGAGTCAGAATATACATCATACTATGAAATGAAGGGTTAGGGTTGCCAATTAGGAAGCCTGTAGTCCACAATTTTTGATAATAACATTTTGGATTTTGCTTTATATCTAGTAATGGAGATATTGGTACTAAAAACTCCCCCTTCATGTTTAACTTGTTGCAGCAGTTATGTCGTTAGCTTGAGCATTTTAACTTTTGGATACTATTTCAATTTTTTATTTTTTCTTATACTCCAACTACCACGAAGGCCTAAGGCCTAAGCACCCATTGGGTACCGTGGGGCTATAGGGGGATATATGGGAAAGGGGGAACGCCACACGGAATCTGGCGAGGGAACACGTGTGCATGCTCCGCCTACGAGATCCGCCGGGTGGTACCTCCGCGTTCGACAGTCAGAGACCGTCTACCACCTACGGACAATCACAATATCCATAGCCAAGAGAAAAATTTCTCCTGGGACGGGACTCGAACGCGCACAGCGCACGGCGACTGATCAGGAGACCGAAGAGTCTACTACTGCGGCCACCGCTGCTGCCTGTCGTTAGCTTAATTTACTCTTATGCATTTTGCGGTAAAAATGAACGATTTTCTTGCAATAACGAATTAACCGTTGCGACATACCCTCTTGTTCTATAGACGTACAACTTTGAAGTTTGGTAAAAAAAGTTATACAGATTTTTTTATTTGGGGGCCTTTGCATTCACTCTATTGTATTGTATTTACAAATCCTTCTTTACAATCTCTTTTGCAACAGGGTTTACATTTGGCTAGTTAGCCTGATGGAATAAGTTTTGTGACGTTTCTAAATAACATATTGTAACCGCAGTTTCCCGATTTTCAATGCAGATTCCACTCCACATATTTTGAATTGCACGCCTCGTGTTGTGTTGGGAGTTATACAAGAGTGACTGGATGATTATTAGAATTTGAAAAACGACTGACTTTGCCAGATTTCACAATCTTCGAATCCTTCAAATAAATGCTTGAAACTACGTTTCAGAATATATCGACAAGCAAAGTTTGTCTTCTTTCTGAATTTTGTCTCCTTTAAGGAAATAAAAAAAAATTAAGGAACTTCCGTTGGCCTAAATTTTAGGTTAGGAACAAGATATCGAGATGCCGTTTTCGCGAGCTTGCTTAGACATCACTTCGCTACTTTTTCATAAAAAAAAACATACCAATGCATTCAATTTTTTTGTGAAAATCAACCATTTCTGTCGGAATGCCGAAGAATAGCTCTTTTCAACCAGCCCAAGTTTGTTTAAATCGGCTCAGCAGTTTCGAAAACACAGGTGTTTTTACGGACACCTTTGAATACCCTCCACCACTTTATTTTTAGAGATACAGCAAAATTAATTTAAACAAAAAAGTTTACATTATCCTCGACTTTGCAGATCAGGTATTTTTTTGTTAGGTTTTTATAGCGGAATTCACAGAAAAATCACTTGTTTAGATTCGAGATTGCAGCTACGGCCCCTAGCGGCCATTTAAGGAACTTTAAGATAACTTCCAGGTTTTTCTCTTTTTTTGCCGCAAGCGTGGATAGGTTCCTAGATTCTTCTTCTTCGCATTCTTAGTTGGCCACCCTGTACATATGTACCCTACCTGTGAATATACACAACAGTGGCCTCGATCAGTGGCGCACGGTGGATTACACGTTAAGTTGGCTACCGACACAGTTGCAACCTTGTCCAGCATGCTTGTTCAATCATTTTGTACAAGCACGCTTGAATGTCTGTAAGGAAATGTGGTGCAAGCTTTGTAATTGTTCAAGCAGCTTGATGACTGAATTGATTTTAATTATGCATGCTTGAATTACGCGCGCTTTCGCAAGCAGAACGGTGCGTGTCTACCCAAGATTTTTAAGCTTGCACAAGTTGGCGTCCTTTGATGAGCATATGCTGCTTTTGAATCAAAGGTGATACAAGTGTCAAAAGGCTTAAATACGTCTCTTCATCCAGCTCACTTAGTAAGTTAATGTGAGAATAGGTTTTCCCTTTCATCAACCATTCTTTACACCACACCGCACGCTTTTTTATTCGGGATTTTCTTTTCTTCACAAGAGCAAAAGCGGCCAAAGCAAGCGCATCGTGATCCGAGCTCGATATATTTTAGTAAGCTACCTCTATTTTTATCAAGCATGCTTGTTCGTGCGGTGCCAAAGACAAAATGTGCATACTTGTACAAAAAAATTGAATAAGCATGCTGGACGAGTTTGCAGTTGGGTCTGTAACCACCTTTACTCTTCTCCAATTAGGTACTTGACCATAACATAATAATATAATAACCATAAATAAATAAAATAACAAACTTTCTGACGAATTTTACGTGGCTTACGCTGATAATTTTTTCTTCGAATAACACAAGCATGCCGATTGAGGAAAAATATTCACAGTTTTTTATTTCGTTAACACACTACTTTGCTAGTAGCCACTCATATCTAAACCAAGAAAAGAATGAACTGATTCAATACAAAATTCGCCAACACCATCTTAATGACCTTTTAATTGATTGTAACGCAAATATACTAAGTGACATTTAAATCCGAACACCCAGTTTAAATGGTTTTATTTTAATAAAATTTTGTATAAGTACTTAATGCAGCATAATAAGTAAATGATAAAAATTTCAAAATGATTGCACTGCTTTAAAGCCCTTTGACCTTTAATAATGTGTGGATGCACCCTGATGTGCTACGCATTCTCCAACGCGCCTAGGCATGCTTCTGATCAGGTGGTCAATGTCCTCCTGTGGTATCTCATTCCAGGCAACCACCAACTCCTCTCGAAGTGCTTGTAGAGTCTGAGGAGGACGTTGCAAATTGAGCAATCTCCTACCCATCATATCCCACACGTGCTCAATTGGGGATAAGTCGGGAGATCTTGGTGGCCATGGTAACAATGTGACATCATTATGTTGAAAGAAGTCTATTGTGACTCTTGCAACATGTGGTCGGGCATTATCTTGTTGGAAAGTTGGATCTGGCAGGGTGTCAAAATAGGGTAAAAAATGGGGTTCTAGAACTTCGTGGATATAACACTGCGCGTTCATGTTACCTCTGATGAAGATTAAAGGTGACCTGGAACCATAAGCTATAGCACCCCAAACCATAACTCCAATAGTGTGATGAACATGTCTTTAAACAAAAAACTGTGGATTCCTCCTTTCACCACGTCGCCTTCTAACCCTGGCACGACCATCGTGCATGCCTAAACAAAATCGAGACTCGTCACTAAAGACAATACTGTTCCATTCCTGATCCCAGAGTGACCGTTGTCTGCACCACTCAAGGCGATTACGTCGGTGTTCTCGAGTTAAAGGGAGGACCCAGTGTGGCCGGTATGAAAACAAGCCAAAACTTCTCATTCGTCGGTAAACACTTCGCATGCCAATAGGTCTTCCGTGTTCTGCAAACCATTCATTTGCAATGGACCTGGTAGTGGAGAAACGGTCCCTTAAGACCAATAATCTTAGGCGGCGATCTTCACGGTCTGTTGTTCTACGGCGGCGTCCAGTGCCACTTGATCTTTGCGTACGGCCTTCTCGAAGCCATGCCTGACAACACCTAACCACAGTGTCTACACTTCTTTGCACTCTAACTGCAATTGCCCGAAAAGAAATTCCAGCTTCCCGAAGTCCCACTATACGGCCCCTATCAAACTCACTAAGTTGACGAAATCGTACAGGTCTCCGTACTCTAGGCATCGTAACCGATCGTAAAGGATGTCAAGAACCAAAATCCGCCAACGTTGATTCTTTACTGCGGCTGAAATATTCATTTTTAGAGCGTTAGTGAATTAAAAAAAGCAGTATAAAGACCGGAATGTCCAACTGATAAGGCTGAAAATTTTTTCACTTGTTACTTACAGTAAGTTAAATACATTCACCAACTTTTATTAAAATAAAACCATTTAAACTGGGTGTTCGGATTTATATGTCACTTAGTATATCAAAAGAGCAAATAAAGCTGCTAAGTTACTCGGTCTTCTCTTTGATGAGTGTATTGGGACATGGAAATCGCAATGAGATAAACTCAAAAATACTTTAAAATTCCATGTCTATGTGTTTCGTAACTTGTACTATGCCTTAATTGATAAACAAAAAAAGATTATTAGGGTCATTGCTGGTAAACACATCATCGTGTAGGGTGATGTTTAAGAACCCAATATTCTTACTCTTGTCTGTCTCAATATTTATGAGATCAGTATTTACATCTATAAAGACAGAATGAAATTCGAAAATAACTATGATATTCATCTTAGGAATACAAAGTATAAAAATAATCTGCGTATCCCTCTATCAAGGCTAAATGTCAGCTATAATGCTCCAAACTACGTGGGAATAAAGGTTTTTAATCACCTACCAATTTCAGTTAGAGTTAGCATGACGATAAAACTTTTAAGAAGACGTCACAAAGATTTTTTGGTTTATCACCCGTATTATACCTTTGACGGAATTTTTCAGGACCTGTTGCACTATGACTGTTTCTTTTGTGATTCTGTTTTACGCCATTTGTTTGTTAAACTTTGCTTTTGCTTTTTTATCGTTTTGTATTATTGTGTGTGTGACAATTTCCTACACTGTTGTAAGTCAAGTAGAGAATAAAGTTATGGGAAAAGGGGTTACTGCTGGGAACTTTTTTCTTGTATAGCTGCTAAAGTATTGTCTAAAATCACACTTAAGACGTACAGCAAAAGACATGCGAAATAACAGATTTTTCAGCAAACATATTAACGCTCGCCTACGTGAAGCAAAAAGAACTTGCCATGTTGCGATGAGCTTATAATTAGATAAAAATTAAATGTCGACGTTGGTGTGGAGGTACGAGTAATGCCTCGCACATGGTTTTTATGTTGGACCTCGGAAATTTCCGATAAGCGTACGCTGACGCCGGCTCCACACGTTGGCCCCAACGTTGGTCCCAACGCCACTCGCCCAACGTGTGTATCTAGAAAATAACGTTGGCCCCAACGTTGGAGCGACCGTTGGTAGTTGGCTGTCGATTGTCGGTTTTATCTGCGCCAACCTTAGCAATCCGTCCACATATTGGCTCACTGGGTCAGTCTTGTTGTAACACGCGTCGAGTGCGTATGTGGAGATATGTAATCAATGGGTAGCCGCTTGGACAAACGAAAAAGTTGTAGAATTTTTAGAGTTATACCAGGCGCATCCAATAATATGGAACGCCTCTCGCAGAAATTTAGTAGCCGATGCATGGCGCAATATTCAACATAACATGAAAATGATTTATTCTATTGAGGAATTAAAAAAGAAACCGAAATTCCTTTAAGCGCTTTTACAGTACTGATGAGTGCGTATAATTTATATTTGTTATTGAAAAAAAAGAAAATCCACGTCAAAGGAGATAGTGGATGACAACGCAACATAAAACTCGGTACCAGTAAGTACAGACCATACACTCCATTCTAGCAGCTTTTTACAAGGCAATTTAATATTAAATTATCTAATTATGTGTATACAGTGTGTCCAAGATAAGGATGTCTATCATGAGGATCTTGGAAAACAAAAGTGATACGAAGATGGTTAAATTTCAAGCCTAACAATATGCCGTTTAGAAAGCTTTAAAATTCCGAGTTGTTCCGGAGGTATGCCTAAAAAATGCTATTTAATACAGGCCATCCTTTTTTACCCGCCATATAAAAAATAAAGTTGATGATGGTTTCTCCGAAACGAAACGTCGTGCGGAAAATCTCTCAACGCTGTTGTGTAGAGCTTAAAAAGTAGCCATAAGAAAGTGTCTTTTGTTTTTCCATATCTCTTTAAATAACGTCAGAAAAAAATAAAAACGAAATCGGCAAATTTCGGTTTTTTAGCCATACCTCCGGAACAACTCGGAATTTTAAAACTTTCTAAACGGCATATTGTTAGGCTTGAAATTTAACCATCTTCGTATCACTTTTGTTTTCCAAGATCTTCATCATAGACATTCATATCTTGGACACACTGTATACACATTATTAGATAATTTAATATTAAATTGCCTTGTAAAAAGCTGCTAGAATGGAGTGTATGGTCTGTACTTACTGGTACCGAGTTTTATGATGCGTTGTCATCCACCATCTCCTTTGACGTGGCTTTTTCTTTTTTTTTTTCAATAACAAATATAAATTATACGCACTCATCAGTACTGTAAAAGCGCTTAGAGCAATTTAGGTTTCGGTGTCGGACATCTTCACATTGGCTCTGACAGAAAGGAACTAGTATAATAACCAACGTGTGGACGCTTCACCAACTTGACCGACCAACGTTGGTGCCAACGTTGGGGCCAACGTGTGGAGCCGGCGTAACGAATCAGAACAGCGAGATTCACAATCAAAATAAAGGCATGTGCTGACGAACCTGCAGAGATAAACCCTTCTAGAGATGGGAAACTCCAATTCTAAAATAAGTTACCGTATTTCTGCGACCTCTGGTGGATTGGCCGCACATCAGTGCTGAATAATGGGCCTTTCCATCTTAATAGGACAAACCTAATGGGGCTTTTTACATTCTGTTAATAATAAATCGTCTTACGTAACAAAAACACTCCAAATGGGTTAATTTCCACTTTCTTAGTTATTAATACATGACGCGCATTTCGACACACAGTGTCTTTCTCCAATGCTGGGATGAGTCGCGCGTCACGTATTAATGACTAATATAGCAGAAATTAAACCATTCGGAGTGTTTTTATTACGTAAAATGGCTTGTGGAAAATCTTTCCAGGGGATGCGAAGGGAGGAATTAAAATTCAAGAAATAATTATAGTCATTTTATGGTCAATCATTCATATACAAATTATATCACCTTTTCTCACAAAGCTAAATATAATAATAATAATGTCTTTAGAAATCCATCCACACTGCGAGGCAAAGTTTATCCAGCTGGCTACTCTACCACTTAACCTCACAGCGCAGAAACACATACAAAAAAAAGATATAACAATGAATAGCAATCGACTAACTAATATATACAATAATTAAGGCTTAAATAGAGTAATCTTAAGATGTTATACATCAATACTACATGGCCCGCTCTAACAAAAAAAAAAAAGAAATATATCAGCTAGCTTGGCTAGCAGACCCCAGACGATGGATCTTAATGGCTCTCTTGAATGCAAGTATTCCCTTCTTTTTGCAATTGTTATTAAGACTATTATACACCTTGACAGCGTTGTAGGTGAACCTGCCTTAGTCGTGGTGCTCAGGGACGAAGAGCAGCTGATGATGAAAGACAACTGGCAGATCGCGGAAATTAACCAAGACATATCGCATGTCAGCTCCATCTGCCTAGTTGAATTCTTTGCTATTAACCTAAACCTTTATGGCCTGCTTCATCAGAAAGGCTCAGGTATTCCTGGATTTCTGCTGCTTCGTGTCAGTGCTCTCCTTTTGTGAGGTTATGTTTTCTTTTTGGATCTTAATACATTTCAGACTGAGACTGAGAAAGCAAATGATAAAAATCAAGTTTCATCAGCATGAAATACAAATAGGATTCAAAAAGGAAATATAACCTCAAAATAAAGTGCTTACCCGAAACAGTAGACGTAGACATCCAGAAGGACAGGAAAAATTATAAAGATCAAGGACGCCATAAAGGCGTCCTAAAATTTTAGGAACAGACAATTCGGCTCTTAGACATCAAGAGTAGGGCTTTTTGTGGAGATTTTTCAAATGAAGTATTCCTGGGAAACGTTAACCTACCTTCTTGAAGCAAATTCCCAGAGCCTCTTTTTTATTTCTAGGTCTACTTTGTGACCTGTTATGGTCAGACCCCAGCTCGCTAATGGGATGGACGGAAAATGACAGGGGCGTATCAGTTTCGTTTGGACCTGACGTAATTTCGAAGTTTCTACAAAAGCACGATTTTGACTTGATTTGCAGAGCACATCAAGTTGTGGAAGATGGATATGAGTTTTCCGCTCAGAGAAAGCTAATAACGATTTTTTCCGCTCCAAACTACTGTGGGACATTTGACAATGCGGGAGCACTGATGTCCGTCAATGAAGACTTGCTGTGTTCTTTTCAGGTAAATAATAAGTTTATTCGATAAGGTTTGAAAATCATTACTAAAACATGCCTTATGAGAATTTATTGCTTTTCTTCCCATTTCTTACCTGTATATCAGCCATGAACGAACGTAGAAGAAAAATTCTTCTCAGAAAAAAGTTAACAACGCACACGGAGAGTAAAAGAAATGTGTCAAATCTATTTGTTTGTTCAAAAGACTCAAATGGAATCAAGACCTAACTAGGTAGGTTCACTTAGGTACAGATTATTTGATTATTTCCCACGATACACATACACTGAAGATAGGATGTTGCGCATGTGGGCTGGACTGGGCAGGACTGTCGTAACGTTACTGCAGCGCACGTGTATCGTGGTCAATACTATATAGTGCGATTTTTTGGTGATTTTTGGTGGGTTTGTTTTCCTCAAGACCCAAACCTTAGCAAAAAATGGCTACATCATACAAAAAGAAAAATCAAAGTCAATGTAAGAAGCACTAGGGTTTGCTCGAAGCACTTTAGTGAAAGTGCCTATAAGGTTAATTTGAAACATGACCACTTGGGTTACACCCCTAAAAGATATCGTGCTCTAAAAGATGATGCCATTCCTATGGAAAATATACCCAAGTCTCTATCTACACCTGGACCATCTACATCTGTTGATGGTGAAAAGCGGAACAGTGCTTACGAAAAAAGTCAAAGGGCTTAACCTATCCCCTAGAGTTTAAGTATAGAATAAGGTCATATATTCTGAGACGAAACGAAGGCGCATACTCAGAGTATTGCAGCGTAGAGGAAAAGGATACTCCGGACATTCCACTAATCGCATCATTAACGAATAAACTGAATGCTCCTGAAGTATCAGCTGACCATAACGAGGTAGTTTTAGTGGAAGAAATAGATGAGCTGGAGTATGATGGGCTGAACAATTTGGCCGGCTTTGTTTGCCATAAATTGCAGGATGAGATGTTGAAAAGTTCCTTAAATGAAACTTACTCCTAGATACACGATCTTAGTGGAAGAGGATTATCAAAACCTTCCACAGCTTTCATGAATCAAATTGAGAAGCTTAATAAGGTGTTTACTACATTCAATGGGGACGGAATAGTGACAAAAAAGCAAAATTTTATAGGCGAACTTCTGTTGAAGAGCAGTAACATTGACTGCTCTGAAAAAGCTAAGAAACTATTTTTCAGGTCAAGGATGTTCTTCCGGATCAAAGAACGGAATAAAAGCTTGAAAGACAAGAAAAATCGTAAAAGGAAATGGAGAAAAATTGTGGTTTAGACTAAGTCATTTCCATTTATTGTTATATCTCCAGCTTACTACAAAAAGATGATAACTCCATTTTTCTACTTTTCGATTTGCGTACATTTTCACACTTGCATGTAGTCAGTACTTAGGATGTTCTGTGAAATGAGGATGAATAAATGTAGTGCAGTATTAACGTCATGAGCACGTTAATCTTGCTCAACAGGACATACTAAAATATAGGTAATGTAGAAAAATCTTGTTTTTACAGTAAACCATACACGCTCTACTGTGGAGCTAGAAAGCCGTTTAAGCTATAGCCTGTGTGATAAGAATTACAAGGTTGAAATCTTTTATTTAAATCCGCCATTTTGTTTTCTATAAAATTTTAATGTAGCCAGTGTCACTCGCACCGCTAAGACTAATTCAACGACACTGCATGTGTGAAAATCTGTCAAGCCATTTGAGCTGTAGCCTATGAAGTAGGAATTACAAGGTTGAAATCTTTTATTAAAATCCACCATTTTGTTGTTAATAAAATTTCAATGCAGCTAGTGTCACTCGCACCGCTAAGACGAATCCAACGACACCTTATATGTGAAAATCCGTGCAGCCGTTTGGCCTGTAGGTGAAAATATGCACGTTATCCATATCAATCTAAATGAAAGTCACTCTCTGCGTGACGTCATGCGCGCCGGCGGACGAAAACCGAACAGCGGAGCATCCGGCACTGATTATTTCCTAACGAATTTTTGCTTACACATTCACCTTATTTGTCAATTCGAAAATAAATAATCACATGGTTCAGGTTCCAAGAATTAGGAAAAAGAAATAACAAATAATGCCATTCGGCCTATCAAAACTTAAACTGACTGCCAAATGATGCGTCTCTGAAGCTAAAGGAAACATACATTCACAAGGCACACAAACATTTATTGAACAAACAAGGGAGACAAGCAAAGAGAAATAAGTTGGTACTACCCCCCCTGGCTAAATGGTTTCCAGCAAAAACTAAGATTAAAAAAATCACCTTGGTAGGTGCTTGGCTATTACATAATGGTGAGATTGATTCCCACACAAGAGAAAAGATAGCTGCTTTGGAGTCTCTCGACGGAAAGGCTACCCAAACGGAAGCTCCGAAGCAAAGGTAACCAAGGGTAGGAAGTCCCCAATGTAAATCAGAACCCGAAATAGAAAAAGATACTTGTTAAAAATAATCCGAAATAACGATTTGACTAATAATCCCCACCTTTTAATTTGCTTCCAAGAATTACTAATTTAAATTTAGTCTTGGGTTACATCAATTCAAAAATTTAAAATTAAAGCATAGCTGCTGTTCAATTACGGTGCGCAAGGTAAATCGTGATTGCACTAGCAATACCTAAATTTTTAAATTAATCTGAACTAAATTAAGATAATCAGACACATTTAAGAAAAAACATGAGGACCCGGAGGTAAAATATTTCATGTCCTCACTCAACTTATAAGTAAGCCAATTAAAATCATACTTGTGAACAGCAGGAATATCTTACGTCGTGAGCATAGCTCACACAAATTTCAGTAAATATACAACCAAAATCAGAAGCTACAGCAATTTAAAAATAACACTATATTATTCTCAGTGTACTATAATACAGAACAATATATATATATATATATATATATATATATATACGTATATATATATACAAAGAGAATATGATCATGCGGAGAAAGGTATATAACAACAAGTAGGAAAATAATGGGCAAAATCCGCAAAAAGGAGGAAAGTGGATTCGAGCAGAAAATAGGATAGGTAACCCGAGCGATACGTATTTCTGCTGGTTGGCTTCATCAGGCCCGAAATGAATGCACATATGAAACTACAAAAGTAGATACACATGCCCACACATCCGGATACGGGTGTAAGCTGAGGAAACGAAGTTGGAGGGGGAAAAAACGACACACGAAGTCCACAACAAGAGCCCGGCGTCCTCTGAGAAAAAGTCAGTTACGAGCATGCAATACAGAGGAATTAAACGAGTAAGTCAGTCAAACAGGCCCATACAATTAGTCCATAGACATTCTTTCCCCATCCTGGCAGTAGTTACTGTCCATCTGGCAACGTTGTCCCTTTCCACAACTGCGCGGCATCACTGCAGCGAGTTATCGTTCATTTCTTGCATGGTTCGTGTAAGCTCTAAAAATTGTACGCAAAATCTTGCTAAATATGAAAATTTTAATGCCCTACCGGATTCTTCGGGGGGCCGCGTCACCCCTGGCACTTCCCTGCGGGCGCCCATGCGCAAATTTATTCACCATACCGATCGAACGGGAGTACATTTGGATTAAATGATATAATTATGGTAAAACTAACTTTTCAAGTATACTTTAGTAAACTGACATCGGCTGAACCCGTTAATTTCCTCACACTACATCCTTTATTCTACCCGACGGAATCGATTACTCTCGTCCGAGCTATTTGACGAACAAACTTGCAAAGTTAATTTCACTGGACTATTTTCCGTTAATCTATCGTTTCAGCAATTATATTGTATTGATGGACGTTATGAAATTATCTATAAGCGGATGCTAACGTAAGCTGCTGATCGTTAATTAGAGTATCATTTTTCCAGATTTTAACGCCCGCTGGTAAGAAGAAGAAATAAGGAGGACCTTTAGAAGAAAATACCAAATTCACAAATTCAAATAACTAGTTTATTCCAAAGAAAAACATAATCTAACTTAAAACTCTCATTATTTCGTTGATTTTACACTGACTTATGATAATATTGTAAAGCTATACATTTAATACACCTAGATATTATCTATGTACAAATTATACAAGGTAAACAAATTTCTCTTTTTCATTTGAACAATTTTGTACTGTAAATTCGTTAATAGTCCGAAAATCCACAAATGTTCTTCGATAAAAAGGAAATTAAACAAATTATTAACTCACTTTGAGCTTACCCTGTATTTAAATCCTCCAAAATATGTATATATAATCTGCCCGTATATAAATATATATACCTATTAGAAATCACACAAATTGAGTAAAATTTTCTTTCATTAGAGATCACAGAATGGAGCTGAAGCCAGCTAGTGAATTTTTTTATTAGAAAGTTATTCTAAGGCCATAGCCACAAAATTGGAATGTGGTTTTCTTGTGGACACATTCTAAGACCAAATCGAGCACATTTTATTGATTCAGCATAAGCAACGTCAATTTTAGATATTTGAGCAGCATTCAGGTACGTCTAACGATCCAGGTCAAGCAATTATAATTAATTCCACACAAGATACAGCAATATATATCATTTTGAAAAAAATTACAGATTTGGGCGTCTAGGGGGAGGAAGTGCCTAAATCCGCCCTTGAAAGCAGCTAGGTACTGCTTTCACCAAACTTGATTATGCTTGACACACTGTTCATACATCCAAAATTTAATACAACTCTGCTGACCTTCAGTAAAATATACATATATCCGAATCCTATGTTTAGAATATTTCAATATATTGTCGTCTGATTATCACTTCGTTTTTCCAAAGTATGGAAACTTTAAAGCTGCCTTTTTTAAATATATAAAAGTCGGACATTCAAAATTCTTCTGGATATGTAAAATGTACAATAGAAATTCTCAAAAAATATCTAGTTCATCCGATTTTTATATTTACTATATTGCTAGCATTATAAAATTATAAATCAAAAACTTTCGATGATAACATAACCTTGAGTGTCCAAGGATACAAATAAATCTCGTTTGGCACATCCAAGTCGGAACTGAAACAATACAAATTGCACTGTCATTTTTTTTGGCTCTTTGCTTTACCACTAACATCCATCACCTTGCAAGGTTATTATTTTAGATTATTACCTGTTTCGAGCTAGTTATGCCATTCAGATTATAACATTACGAAACTTTAGTATCATGGTGTTATGTGAGTTTTGTAGCAACCAAAGAACCAAAATTAAATCGGAATCACAAATCAATAAACTTATCAAAAACACTATTTGCACATTTTCTTGAAAATATTGGCACCTATATTGCAGTTCGGTTCACCATATTATTTAGCATCCAGAAACCTGGAAACAGTCATGTAAATGGTCGTTGTTTGAAGTTAAGAACCTCAGCTATCACATTACTCTTTAAATTCTAACAAACTGATAGGCACTTTTACAAGTCAAAAAGTATTATAAAGTCTATGATACATTCATTCAACTTGAACAGTTTTATCCAAATTATGATATGGGGTCAATTCTTGAAAACGATGGAGAATTCTTACTGCTATAAAGTGGGAGTGGCTCTATTACCTTACGGGGAACTATATCCTTTAACGTCTACAGAAACTTCTTAGGTCACTCTCAGGGAAGTTGACTTTTGGATGAAAGATTTAATGAAATGAAGAACCTATAAACATTTCCGCAAAATTGATTGATAAGCTTCAAAACAGACATCAAAAGCTGTCAGAAAGGCAACACATTCTATTGATTATTCTACTCCCGTGAGTTCAGAAATTGCCCCTCTGAACGTTCAGCATATTCAGGGAACTATAGCTGTTCAACACTTCATGTCAACGTCCATTTGAATCAAGTTCACATTGACATTAAGTATGACAGTGCAAACGTTCCCTAAATATTCTGTATGTATTGTGTGTTAATATTAGTTACACTTGGACCCCTTATTCTTTGCTTTTTATGATTTATTTGAAATGATATACTCATTGTGCTACTATCGACTAAATTTGTTTCTACAAAATTTGCACCTAGTCCTAGCAGGCTCAGAAACCATAAATAATAGTTTTTATTCACCGATAAACCTATGTATAAATGCAGCTCATATCAAAGTTTGCTAACAGAGAAAGCTGTTAAACTAGGGTTGCCTCCCGCAGCCCGCCGCAATTACGATTGATTTCAATCCAAAAAAGGATTTATTGCATGATGAGATAATTTTGATCGACAATTTAACCAAAAAATATATGTTAACCATAGTAAACAAATACATTCTTAAAAAATACAATCCCGACTGCAGTAACTGAAAAGAATTAATTTCTAATTGTGCTTAGTAGTTTAATATCCGCCATTTTGATTTTACGAAATTTTGGTATGCCCAGTGTCAGTCGGGCTGTCAAGACAAATCTAGATATAAAATACATCAAGACGTTTGATCTGTAGCCCGTGGATGAGAATTTTTTGGATACGTATGGTGAGTATGTACTACAGCACGAAAAGCGTTGCCGTCCTTCTGAGGGCCGGTAAATACATTGTTACCGGCCTGTTACCTTATTGCCTGCATTAATTTGGTTCATGAAGACTAAAGATAGTAGGTCAAAATGTGTAAGGGAAACACGTATTTGTATGAAACCAATCCAAAACTTTGACACTCACTACAGAATCAGAGAATAGGAGCCACACAAATCCTTGACTGGTTTCTTCTACATACTCTGAATTCGTTGCATCAAACGAATTCAGATTGTTTATCACCAAAGTTTCATAGTCTGTAGTCAGGTTGAAAGTTCATACTCCCACAACAGTGAAAAATGGAACATAAACATACCAATTTTTTATGGAAACCTAAAAGATCCAACTAATACTTTAATTTTGTGTCTTATCTAATTTAATTTCTAATCTAAAAGTTCGGAGGAAAGGTCTTTACTTCCACGTTATAAATAGTAACTTTACATAACTCCTGAAACGTATACTATGGTTTTGACGTTCATAGCTCCATTGTCTGACCGAATTAAAACCACACATATATTTGTAATTCTATTTGTAATATGACTTGTCGACTATCATTGTCTGAGAATTGTCAATTGTACTTGAAAAGGACCACAGAGATGGTCAATATAATATACAATAAAAATAAGTTTAAATACATAATATGAGGGTTTGATTCGGCCAGACAATGTATTCTTAGTAATATTACGTTTTCATTTTATTGTCAAAAACTAGGAATATCAAATTAATTAAATTACTTCCAAATCTGTTTATGGGATCAAAATAGTGAAAATCACTATTAATTTACTTATTATGTTCAACTACGTCAGCTATTTAAAAAAACAGTGTAGATTGTATACAATGTGTCCCACTATTTGCCAATATTAGGTATTCTGCCATTGCTGATGTGTTTGATGACATTTTTCTTACTTTTTACCTACTAAAATCACAAATTAAGTATAACTGTTGATGCGGTATACAAATATTTTGTTCTTTTGCCTTATTTAACCCTTTAACGCCATTTGGGGTACTATTTTCCAACCGCTTCTTTTAAATCAGGGTGGGACAGTATCTTCCCACTTATTATATGATTTGAATTGCGCGCGCCCCCACTTGTTGCTTGCAATCTGGCGTCCCCCTTGGTAGTTCCTACAAGGTGCTGTCTACAGAGTGGTGCTAAAGTGGGACGATAATATCCCAGTGTGCGTAGGAAACATCATACAAAGCAGTGAACACCTATCAGGCTGTTGTTTGCGTTTGAAGTTAGATTGAAGTGCTTCTAAGCTGGAATAAAGGCATGTATCTAAATATAGTAGTAGTATTGCTGCGTCTGTTAGCGTTTTATTTTGTGATGATTTTTGGAAAAGATAGCTTATATAAGCTTTTGCTGATTGCGTCATTGCCATTCGGCTAACCTTCTGCGAAAATGGCAAATTATTTCTTAGCTTACACAAGGTGCTTATTCTAATCGCATATAGCTACATATTGTCTAACGGGTCTAACTTATGATAATTTGCCATTGTAATCGAATGATGTGTATGCACACAGATGTTATACTCTGTGAAATGTGGCATTATAACCTAACAAGTCATGGCTTTGTTTACATTTTCAGAAATGCGACTTCTACCTTCAAATTTAGCTTGTTAACGTTATTTATAATTTTATTTTCACTATTACTCATTTATTTTCGGTTTTCAGGACCCTAATTATGTCAAGAAGACGTCTAAGCGATACTGAAATAGCCAGATTTATAGGTGAAATTACAGATGATCAAGCTGAGGATTCGGAGCTGGATGGTGATTCTGACGCAGATTTTATTCCTAGACAACCACTGAATGATAGCAGTAAACCTGGCTTGCGAGGTTCATTACGTATCAGCGGTCTACGCGATCGCGTAACGCAGCTCTACAAAATTTGGCGGAGTATTCCGATGACGATTTTGAAGAAAATACTGAGGATCCCGATTATTCAAACCCTCCTAAGCCTAGCCGAAAAATCCACAATACTTCGTCTGAGGAAGATTCTGGTGGTGGCGGGGATCCTGGGGGTGACGGGAACTCTGAAGATGGTGGTGACGGTAATGGTAGAGCTGGAGGTGACACTGATGGTGGAGGTGACGATAATCGCACGGCTACGAGCCAATCTCCTTTAATTTGACAAAATCTGGCACGGATTCTAAGTTATACAGCACCTTCCACTTTTCAGAACCTGGTGCCGGGGCTAAACATGACGTAGATATGAGCTCTCCTTTAAAACTTTCTTAACCCTTGACATTTTGACTTTTATTGTGACCCAGTCGAACCTGTATGCTTCTCAAAAAGGTGTAGATCTCAGCATGACTGTTGATGAATTGCGGGCTATGCTTGGCATGCTCATATTTATGGGATTCCATGTTCTACCGACCTTCCGATCTTATTGGAGTAAAGACAATAACTTTCAGGTGGAGAGGAGAGCTAGAGTAATGAGTCAAAAACGATTTTTGAAATTACTCCGTTAACTACATCTAAATGACAACCTCGAGATGTTACCGAGAACGGACCCTAAGTACGACCGCCTGTTCAAAATAATCACGCATTTTCAGAACGCCTTTCGGAACGCATTCCACCCTTCGCGATTTCTTTCAATAGACGAAAGTATGATTGGTTTCAAAGGGCGTAGCAGTCTCAAACAATACATGCTCATGAAACCCATAAAACGAGGGTTCAAAGTCTGGGTTTTGGCGTGTTCAGTTACTGGTTTCGTAATGTACTTCCAGGTATATACAGGCCGCTCTACGGAAACAACCGATCTTGGGCTCGGAGAGAGGATTGTTCTCGAATTATCCACGATGCTGCGTGGATTAGGCTACTGTCTAGTTTTTGACAATTTTTTTCCGAGCTTACCACTGTTGAAGCTTCTACTAAACGAGCGTCTCTTTGCGTGCGGTACCTTCAGGATAAACCGAAAATTCTACCCAATGAATGAACTGAAATCCCGAAAGGCAGATGACGACTGGGGATAGCGATTTTGTTCAATCGGGGGACATAAGCATTGCAAGTGGCGAGATCGCGGCAAAAAGTCGGTTGTCGTTGTCAGCTCTATGCACAACCCTAGTAAGCAGAACAAACAAGCGCGGTGAGAGGGAATCAGTGAATTGTCCAGAGTCTATCGCTGACTACAACATCTTCATGGGTGGAGTTGACAAATTCGATCAGCTTATGTCGACTTAGTCGATTGCCCAGAAATCTCGTCGGTTGAAACTATTTTATTATTTCATCGATATTGCGATAGTAAATAGTTACGTCATGTACAAGGACTCGGCCAAAAAAGAGCGTCACCTCGAGTTTCGCTCTCAATTGGCCAACGAAATGATCGGTAATTTCTGCAGTAGAAAACGCAAGTGCTATAGTCCCGGAGCGGGAGTAGGCAGAAAAAAACATCAACCAGGTGGTTACCCTACCGTCCAAAACGCAATTCGTTTGTCAAATGTCGGAGACCATATGCCCAAGCAGCAAGAGAAATAGCGTAGATGCGCGCACTGCAGTACGAAGGCGAAAGAAAAGAGAAGCAACATGATTTGTACTGCTTGCTCGTGAAATAAAGTATTTTTTACTTATGTGTTTTTAATTCTACATGTGTACAGCGACAAATTAGGGGGAGGGAAAATAATCACCCACTGCCCGAAGTCAGATGTTCGTTTCCCTACATAGGCAGTGGCATACTATTTTCCCGTCCCTAAAACAGAACTTTTCCGCTAGTTATTTTTTTGTGATTTTTCTGTGTGAAAGGGTCCATTAGGTTTTACGTTTACTGCGGTTTACTGCGCGTTAAAGGGTTAATGTATCCCAGTTTATTAGCAATATCTATTCACATCGCAACACAAATAGTATTTCTGCCTTGCTACGATTGGCTACTTGAATACCTTTCCAGAGAAAAAAATGTGCGGCGATGTTTTGGTTTGTCACTTTAGTTTGGTAATGAGAAGCAAATTAGCCAAAAGAATGCACAAAAACCACATAGTTTTGGCGCCAAACAATGCAATTTGAGCAAATAGGCTATCCTTCTAATCTATTCGTTAATCGCATCTGTATGTGTGATAGGCGTCTTACAACTGAAACGTGCTTACAGGATACAGCATATTTCATAGGAATATCTACTTCTATAATGAACAGTTGCATGATAACGAGGCGATTTTTACAGCTTAATGATTGGTACAATGAACCTTCAAAATAAAATAGGCTTGGGGTAGGCAGCCCTAGTTTAGTGCCTCTGTTAGCGGACTAGATATAAACTGCATCTGAACCAAGAGTTTATAGGGGCATCAAAAATATGGGATCTGGGCTAATAGAAAAGTTCTTGAAGAACTCGTTCTCGTAAATTATGAGCCATCTATCATAAAATCGGGCTTATTCTTGGCAGAACTATCAAAACCTGACATTCTGAGCTCATCGATATTCTGCATCTTGGGATTCCGGACGCATCACGTAATGTCTGTTGAACCACAGCTTTCAGGACATTCTAGATCCTTTCATTAAATTGTATAACCCTGAAAGCATTTTAGCATCTTCATTGCTAGTGATGATTCTGAGGTATTGGAGGGTCTGGTGAACACACAATGTTGACATGTCTGGAGGTACTGCTGAGATCCGTAGGTCCTTCCATGCTGAGGTCAGTTGGTTTGTCTTCGTAGTCCAAGTGATGATCGTGAATGCTCCCTTCGGGGTTTTCTCCAGGCTCAGATTTAATGGGGTACGCTTCGGGTTTCAGAACATTCTGAGGTGGTTTGGTATTCGTTGGTGACATCTGCTGGCGGAGGAGCGAGATGTTTTTGATGTTCTTGAGTTCCGTTGGGTTCCTCAGGAACCTAAAAAAAAAAAAAATAAGAAATATACACATACCATTTTATAGAAAAGTTAATTCCAAGTCATAATGCTTCTAGGAGATAGTTTAGAATTCCTCTAATAATTTCCGACCTGATAACATATAGCAAAGAAAATTACAATTCAAATGTTTCCTACGATAATTGTATTTTTATATTAGTTGTCCATGTCCCCATATATTCCCATGTATTGTTACTATGTATTATGAAATACAGAAATGAGTAGAGTACAATGGGAACTCATACATAAAACAGGCAAAATTAAACGTCTATTTGTCGCAGCGTATTTTGAAGCTCTGGACTGATGTGGCTTGATGGCGTTTGCTGGTAGTCCGTTCCAAGAATGTATCATAAACATGATTAGGAAGAAAGTATGGAGTGGATAGACGTTCGAAAAGTTATCAGGAATATGCTGGATATGTCGGTTCCGAAGAGACCATGGATCTCTATCTGTAATTATGAGGTCGCCTCAAAGTTTCTCAGATCAGTGTCAATGGACACAACTTGGATAGTATGGTCACAGATCTTATACTCCAGGAGTTCGTTGTTCCCGAATGAAGAACACAACATTTGGATAGATTGAGTGGGAATAACCAGCATTCAGACGCCAGGAGAACTGTCTCAAAATAAATAAATCATGCACAAGCTGAGTAGTGTTTATCACAGAGTTATACAGCTATTTAGAATCTATTTTAAATATTGCCTCACTAACCCCCCTATTTTTTGACTTACTACTCTGCCAATATTGCCTATATTCAGTTGATTTGTATACGGACATGCCCAAAGATTTGATACTTTAAAAATAGATTTTTTTTTTGTCAAACAATACTGAATTAATAATTATCATAAGTACTTACTGGTAACAATGCCTCTCGCCCTGCACCTTCCTCAGAATGTTGACCCTGTAGTAGTATCTGAGCGCTCTAGACATTTTGTCATAGTTCATTGATAAGTGGTTCTTCTGGATGCCCCACAGCTTTGCAAGACCCGACGGGTCCACGATTTTGAACACACCCGTTTCGCGGTTCTTCCACGCGATGTAGCTGGTATATCGCTGTGCGGGATCGTTCAGCAGCTGTTGCAAGAAGTCCCATAGGAGTCTACCATCTGGAACAAGCAACAATTGAGGTTTGAACATAAAAAAACAATATATAAATCATTTGTTTGTTTGTTTCAAGATTTATTTAGCATGATTGCTACAATTACATTCTTCTAAAAAAAACTAAACAATTACATAACATACACATATTTAAAAATAAAAAAAAAATTGCATCTCTATGAATTTTCAGCAGACAGAAAGTGTCTCCCATGTCGTAATCTAATTATACACAACGGAACGGAAATATTTCACTTACTTGTGTTGGGCTCAGGAGAATCAGGAAAGAATTCACGTGCCCCGGTTTTGAAACTGGGACTAGAGACTGATTCCTTGTAGTCCTTTGGACTCCTTGGTGGCATATATGGCATTTGGGGCATAAACGAGTAAGCAGAAGGGGTATTTGGAGGACTACCACTATAACCTGAAACAATAATTGTGACAATTAAGTTGATGTCTAATCTATGGATCAACCGATATTTATATCGGCTTATCAGCAATATTGGTCTATTTTTACATGTGTATCGGCCGATGTAGGGCTGTCGATATAAACTAAGTTAAATGGCGTTTAATATTTTATTTAGTTGCATTAATTCAACATCATTTTGTCACATATGTATTAAAAACGAAACCTGTAATTTTCGGTCCCAAGTTTTTGGCAGACAAACAGATATAGTGCATGTCACGGTGTTTGGTGGTTACGTCACAATGACAAGCAAGTTGTCATACTGACAATACCAAGCTAAATGACAAACATTGAGGAGCATGTTCAAGGCGATGAGCCAAAAGTAAAAAATGGAGTCAAGTAAATTGATTCTGTACTTCCCACGCAACGCAGTTATCAGGTTAGAAGGTCCATATATCTGATGTTAGAGATAATTTTCCAATCATTTGATCTATTTTCAGTACCGGGTTCAAAATGCTGGTTGTCCACTACTATCATTTCGCCGATCAGCAATGAATTTCCTTTCCCTCTTCCGCCCAAAGAAATACATAATTTTATTGTATTTTGTATAGGACACAAATTGCACTATCGATTAGTCAGCCTTTGATCAAAATTTCTCGGAAGGATTCTGTCGAAATATGTCCTTATTTTTGAGATTTTTGTGGAGTGCTAAACATGATGCAACTAAAGCGGTTCAAGCAAATGTTATAACTTATATATAATCAAAATCACGAAAGATGACTAATACCTTAAATTGTACTGAAGTCATCAATGGGCGTTCGTCGATGATAAAATCACGATGTCAGGAACATAATGACAACAAATGTATATTATGATTTTGCGAAGTTAGGTTATTTCACTGATTATTTTTATTTTCATTTTATTTCATGGTTTTGAGTGATACCTTAATAATAATTTTAGTGGCGAGTTTTTGTTTTGAAAAAAAAAACAGTTATGAGTAGAATACCTTAAGACAGGAACACCAAAGGCCAAAGTATTATTCAAAAACAACTGCTTTAACATAACCTAACTATTCATCTTTTAAACATGATCGATCATGCAACATGAAAACATCGTCTATCTTTGTCGGATACATGCAAAATAGCAATACTCTGTCTAACATATCAGAAACTTCATTTTAATATCGTCATCTTTCGTGATTTTGACTATAGACGCGCTTGCGGTTCTGTCACTTTACTCAAGGTTACTTAACAGAAATACACCAGATTGTGTGGAACACAGACTAACCGCCAAGATAGCCGATATATCGGCCTCTGACATATCGGTATCGGTCAATTATCGGGATCCGTAAAAATCCGATATCACGCTCTAGTCTAAGAAAAAATTGCGCGAGGTAATTTTTCTAATTACTGTTATGAGGTAACAAGCATGATTACTAACTTGAAAAAAAATTAATGATAATTCAAAAATACATGTTCACTATGAAAAGCTCAGATTGACAGGTAGCATGAATGTTACATTGTAAGAAATTAAAACTTTTTAGAATAAACTTTTAAAGACGGAGAAGAGGATTTTCTGCTTTTACTGAAGTCAACAACGACTAGGAAATTGCCGTCTTTAAATTCAGGAGATTATGAAATGATACGTTAGCAACAGGAAAATTGAGATAAATGACATTGCAGATATACTAAATCGATGCTTCAAAACATGTATGTATATTGGGTTTAACTATGCATTCAATATACGTTATTTTCAGAAACGTTATCGGATCGTACACTAAGAAGTCATTAGGAAGATTGTAGCTTGACCTGTTTCATCATTAGTTGAAATTACAATAAAGAATACTGCTGTTATTACATAAATGTTACGTATCAGGAAAGTAATCTGTAGACAGAGCATTTTAGATCTCAATTTTGTATGAGTCGTTGGAACAACTATCACATTTAGGGCTTGGAATCAAGAAAAAATGTGTAAACCAAAATTGACTTGTTAAACGGATAAAAAGATAAGTTAAATTGGAAGAAACTTTTAAGATTCTATAGAATATTCGTTACAAATTGAAGCACAACCTACATGACTCCTCAAAATGATATTAATTTTCAAGTTTTTGTAGAGAATTCAGAATATTGGAAATTATTTCAGCCTACCTGGTTCCTGTACGTTTTGTTTTTAATTTTAATATTAAAATAAGAAAGGTAGTTTTTTGAATCAAGGGAGTTATGGACAGATAAATATAAATGCGAAAAGTTACTCACTCATTAGTACCGAAATCACGAAAATTATTTAACCTATGAACATTAAATTTCACAGAGAAGTAGTGTACACACAAAACTTATCAGCTAAGAACCGATTTTTAAACAGGGCTGGAATAAGGGGGCTAAGGGCAGATATACATAAAAGAGAAGTGATTCACATTGATCACGAAATCTCGAAAGCTATGTGACGGATGAAAATATAATTTGGTAGGGAGGTAGTTTAAAATGCTAATGTAAAAAAATGGTAGTGTTATTAATTTATAACCTTTAACGCCGCGGTTTTACCCCGCAGCCTATGAGTTTCTTCCTTTAAAAAAATAACCAAATTTTCCAAGCATACAAGTTGACTGTTAATTTACTAATTCAATCGTAGCAGTACTCAAGAACAATGCTGTTTGAAAGTAACAATTTAACGCGTACGAACTCGCGGGTAACAACTAGTATGAAATAAGAGGAAAATTACAACCAACTGATTGTGCGATCTTTTTGAAAACGTTCCCTAATAAGCAAATTAGGAAATCCCCACTTCATCGACATTTATTCAAAAACATTCAAAATGGATTATTGTAAATCTGCCTTATTCATCAATATACACAGAACGCTGCAGAATCTTGTAGCGAACATCAGGAAAGGGTGCGTTTTAAGTAAAATTAATACGTCCTTAAGAAAACGACAGTTATTTTTACAAAATCCTATGGTGAATAATTTTACACCAAACAAGTTCAAACATATATCGTGGAAACGAGGAATTTCGCAACCCATATTTATATAATTTTTTTTTCATATTTTTACTTGTTGAATCTGACCATACCGTTCTACCCGTAGTATCTACGAAATATACCGAATTTATCTCTCACCTTTCTTATCCATACCATCTTCATCTGAATCCGAATGATTGCTGCCGCTTCCACTCCCGCTGCCACTGGCGTTAATCCCACCTCCGAATGCTGATGCGCTGTTGCCATTCTGAAAGGTACCGCCTTCACCATGCTGCGGACTGCCTCCCGCTTGGCTGTCGACCGAAGGGGCGGGGCTTAAAGTCGTCGAGTTGCTCTGCGCCATGAGGTGCGCCGCGAGCGCTGCATGCGATTGGTGCAGCTGCTCCCCTAGGCCCGCCCATGTGGTAGGGGTGGTAGGCGGCGCGTGTGGAGAGAGGGGATAAGGGTGGCGGGAGGTGGGCGTGACTGGACTGCTGGGTAGGATCCGGTGCAGGAGGTTCGCTTCGCGGACGAGGATCTGCAGGACGTTGTGCAGCACGTCACCGGATCCTGGGGCTCGCTCAGCTAGGTCTGTGCGGGTTAGCAGGCACATCGCCTTACCTGAAAAGAGAGGTATTTGATTATTCCTTGAACAACAAAAGTAATGACACGAGTCATACAGAGCTCCCCTACTTAGATACAGACCGCTAAAGAATACTACAGGATAGAGGATGCTGTACAATGTAAGCCTGATAAGACCGTGTCTCTAGAAGAAAATTAACTTATCTAGATCGCCAGAAATCGACTAGCACAAACGCAACATTGCTATTTTTCAAACCCTGTATAAAAATGACAACGCTGAGATTTTTAGAAAGCACGATATTTAAAATAAAAATGTCTCTTTTTTTACGGTTCTTTCAATTTTGGCGCTGCATCCAGTATAGTGATTCCACCATTTTGAAAATATAGTATTTCTGAAAACATGTTCGTAATCAGCGACCAATCTCCAGGATATAATTTTTCAGACATCTTGATCAAAAGTTGGGTTTTTGTTGAACTATTTGTGGATCGGTTGCGGTGAAAAAACTAGTGAAACATGACTGGTTTTTGAAAGATGGCTAAATTTACGGAAGGCAAGCAAACCTACAACAATTTTTTGGGCCATATTGCAATGGCGTATTTAGGAATTTGTCTAAACGGGCACAGCGGGGGTCGCAGCATTTTTGTTTAGAAAGATCATCTCATCCGAGTCCCCATTGCCGTATTATTATACAGACTCTACGAAAATCAGCAATACTGCAATAGGCTTAGTCCGTCCCTGGGGATTCAAATTAACTAATTGTTTTCCACGGACATCATCATGTTAGAACCCCAGTGGTTACTACGATGAATAATACAGTATTGTTCCAAAATTTTTGAAGCCGTCTTCTAGACGTCGTTATCTCCGTAGCCCCGCAGCATTATTTTTTGCTTTTTTGCATCCAACATTCTCTAGAAATCATAGTGTAGGATGAAACATCTAATGAGGAATTAGTATTTGTAGGGTGCCGAGCTATCGGTTAGAAAGTGACTGTATTTGTGGAGAATTAAATTTAAATAATAGTTTCTTTTGTCCCTTTCTTCCTTCTCTTTCAGGTGGGTTGCTTGTTTTTAACCATATTTCATAAAACCACACTGTATAAGTCGCACTTACCATTCATCTGGAACATATCATGGTCAATTGGCTGGATATCAAACTCTTGCTCCGCCCATCGGAGGAAGGTGGCGACATCTTCCCTGCTCCACACTCGCGGGTCGGTAGGCAGAGAAGCGGGCAGTTGAGATTTGTAGTCTAAAAGTGGTGAAGAGGGAGGATTGTACTGGCCTAGGGGTGGAAATCCCAGAGGGTACCTCCACAAGAGATCAGCGTTGAAGGGGAGAGGAAGTGACAGGCGGTCACCAGAAGTGTTGGAAGAAGAGGTTGGTATAGGCGGTAGGTGACCCGGAACGAGCTTCATGGTGCACAGGCCCTGAAATTAGAAATCATGTTGTTAAGAGAAAAATCTAATTAGATTTAAAACTAACCATTCATATAATAACATTTATGTGAAATGTTTTACCACACGCCGCGACGACGCTATTTTCCCATCGAATGTTGGCGATCCAACTTGAGACAACTACCCAAGAAGCTGTCACTCGAAACATTTCGACAGACGTTCCACCGTACTAACGTCTCAGGTCTTTCGTCCATGAGTTTTTGCGTCTTCCACTGGTCTCTTAGCATGATAGGACGGAGAATCTCAGCGATCACTCCTCATTTCATGACATAATTATGTGCTGGAGTTTCCGTTTCGTGATGATTGTTAAGACTTCTTTGTTATTGACTAGTCTAAGCACCTCTTTGTTACTTTGTCTACCCACGATATTCGGAGTATAATACTTTATATATATTTGGAAGGCATCTATTCGCTTAATTAACGAAGTACTAAGGATCGTATCGTCAGTCGTTCTTACAATTTATTGTAAGCCGTAACGGAATAGTAAAATCTAGAAATACCACAGCCTTTCTGAAAGAGAGAAAAGACTATCAAAATCAAGGAGGCCATAAAGCTGTCCTACAATAAGTTGAATTATGCCGAATATTAGGACAGGGAAAGATACAACACTTCAGGTGGATACTTATTTGTAGACTGATATCCCGGCTAGTGAACTGGTGTTTCAAAGAAATGAATGTACTCCTAGCTTTTTCAATCCGTGAAAGCATCTCTTCTTTGGGATCAATGCCTTCATTGACTGGTACTACGAGTTATTTCACGGATAATACATTTCTACTACGATGTTATGTATCCCAAGAGTCGCCTTTTTCGTACGTAGGAGAAGGTGACTAGTTTTGTTTTGACAACATTCATGTGTAGACGGTAATGCAACAAAGCTCATGGTGTTTTGATAATATCACCGCGCTATCAGAGAAAGGGATATTGTCAATAATTGTGCAGTTGAAATATATCTACTTAAATAATATTCCATTTGTTTGTTTTCACGGCAGAGATGGATTAGCGTCTAATGCTATTTTTTTAACTCTGAATATCAGTTGATTAAAAAACTAGCGCAAATTTTGATTGGACATAAAATACGTCCAAAAATAATACAGAACGTTCCTATCAGCGTAAGACATAATCACCTTTGCCAAGATACAGGGAGTTGCAGTTGTATCTACAAAATCAGGTAAAAAAATCATAGGAACAATTTCTCCTAACTATTACTTGAGAAATATTAGTCACATAAAGCATTTTGAATGAAATATGTTTTGATTAGGTGAGCCTAAAATTATCTTATAAAAAGCCTTAAGATGTTTTACTTAAAAAATACGCTGAAGTTAGCAGAAAAAGTTTGACATTGAACATTGAGCAAGTGTGAACACCATCGCACCGTAGCATTATTGGAAGAATATCGTTATATCATCTATTAATATGCCAAGGAGACATTTTAGAACCCATATTTAAGAGTGCGATTATTTTTACTGTATTGTGAGCTCTATAGATATTGTCACCATTTTCTTAAACATCTCAGACATTACTAATCTACTTGACGCATTTTTTTTTATATTTTGATCGCCGAACTATATTTCCCAACATGCAGTTTCCGCTTACACCAGCTTGTCACTATCATCAAGTCCATAAATGGTGAAGTTGCAACAAGATAGAATGTGCAATGAACATCCATTTTCTTTGTTATCAACCTTTATCGGTTCAAACAAAGACATGCACAGTGGAGGTAAATATATGTATAACGACCGAATGACGCACCGCTTGGCGTTTAGGCCACACAGTAGTCTATATTTTGTCTTTATCGGAAGTGAAGTGAGTCAACATGATTCACTATTTTTAGCTCGACACACTAAGATGGCATTTCCGAGGACGTAAGCCAAAGCTTACAGAGATTGTGGTTTTCCCGGTATTTTATTAAAATTATTTGGCGTGCAGTGATTTGAGAAATACAGTTTAACAATAACCAATAGTTTGTAAAGACATCCAGCAGGGAAATCTCTGATATAAATAAACAAAACATAGAGAAGCTGCAAGAAATCCAATAGCCTTCAAATATTTTTGGTGAGGCAGGACTTTCTACCCCATTTGTCATTGGAAGGAATATAATCATCAAAGTGGAGGGATTATTATGAAATATAACCTATAAGCGGTCTGTAGGAAGAATATCCTATTATGTTTCTTGGTGTCTTAGTCTTGTTGAATTACTAGAAATAAGTAATGTAATGGGTTTTGACGCATTAGTCTGATAGGACAAACATGTGTAGACACACATCATCAGCTTTCATGAAGCTTTAGGCGCATTGGAATTGGCCTGATAACAGTTACTAACGAAATAATGTCAACGAGGATGAAATAATGCAATCGATGTATGTCTGATGCTTGCAACTTATGAGTGTTTATGCATTATTATCACGTATAGAACGGATATCTAATCACACAGAGTATTGTGGGACAATTCCTCATTAAGATTCTTATAAGTAATAAATACATCAATGGGAATTAGATCGACTATACTGTAAAAAGAGAAAGAACAGCGACCTATAAATGTTTTAATTGACAAGGAACATTTGATATCCAGAGTAGTTTCTTTTTAGTTACACGAGCGTCAATTTTCAATAGTCGCCGCTGAGCCACTAGGATTATGGTGCAACCCAGTTAAGAGTATTGGGCAGCGGCATTCCAAGGTTTTAATGACCCTTGAAATTTTGTTTACTATACCCATCCTTCTCGATTCACTAAGTAGGTGGCCAGACTCCCATTTAGGACAGGATAATGCTTTTGCAGACTCTTCTTTGTGCCTGTATATGGGGTTTGCAACGCTCCTCTCTAATGTCTTTAGCTGTGAATGCGTAATGCCCTGACTAACCGACTAACCAGTGAAAATCCAACAATCATTTGTAAGTTCTTAGTTCATTAGTATTCTTCGGCTATGTTGGATTCTGAAGATCCTTTCAACACTCTCTTGGAGTGGGTATTTATCACTACTCTGTCCCAATTGTTTTGTGAGACACGTTTTACAACAAATTTGCTCAGTAACATGTGCAAGACTCTTTGACCAAGTACCGTTCCATTTAAAGAACTTACAGGCACATCCTATATAAAAAACATGCCTTTATGAACACCCCAAAAATAACGTTGCAATGCCACAAACTTTTGCTGAGAATCGTTCACCAATAGTTTCTCGGATTATACCCTATTTCACGAGTTTGCCTCAAGCTTTGACGTCTACGAAGGTGAACAGCTGATCAGCAAGTGACATTTTTGTGTTCGTCTGCGACGTTGGGGCAATAATGAATAGGGTGTAAATCTAGTAAAACTGGTTTGTTTCTTGAAATAGGGTATTATTATTGTCTGATTGTACTTCAATACTCCTATGTTTGTGCCGCCACTGGGGACACGTACGTCAACCCCAAAACAACTGCCATACCTTTTCAATTCATGATATGGAAAACATACTTCCTTTTCAGGAGGCGTAGTATAAATAACAAATCAGCATCGACAGCAAGCATAACATAATTCCGGAATGTCGAAATACATACATGCTTGAATAACGACTTAGGTACGTTTGCTTATGTTGCAAAATCTCTTTCTCAATATGCACACATGCATATTGTATACTCACGCATCTATTTTTCTTGCGGTTATACCGGAAGAAATAGGCTGCCATTAAAAACTTGTGAAAAACGTATATTGTGCAAGATGAACAGGTAATTACATATAGGTATGTTGTTCGTTACTAGTGATGTGAGGTGTGTATTTTCTGTCATTTGTTTTTAATTGTGTAGCTCTGAAGGTGGGATCTTCTTAAGGTTAAGCACCAGATGTAGGCGGAGACCTCGCATTTTGAGAGAATTATCCAACTGTTATTTTTTTTCACAATCATGTTTTCACGTTTTTTGGATTAAGATGAAGCAAGGGTTGCCGACCAGAAACAAGTTACAAATATAACAAAACAATTTTAGAAAAAAACACATTTTTTTGCCCCGGACAAAGTTTTTTCAGATCTTGGATCATTTTTGATAAAAAAAAGTCGTTAGCAACCTTCCGTTACATTTGACCACTTTAGAGTTATATGATATCAGTTTCAATACTAAATTACACACAAAACAGTGCTCTTGGTTCAAGAGCACGAGTTTCTATAAAATTATGACTCTGATTCGAGATCACAGTTACTTGAAATGTAGCATTTAAAATTTAGAAATGGACGTTGGTTCAAATATGTCTAAGAAACATCAGCCACGATCCTCAATTCAAGATAGTTACTATTGAACCAAGAGCACTCTTTTTTTGTGTGTACTAAGGACCCTTTTGGTTCAGAATGATTCAGAAGCTTAAAGAAGTTACCACAAACTGTGATTTTTTTTCCATAAAACACTATTAATTGAAGGATTTCTATCTCTATTGTAAATTATGGTTATTATGATGAGACTACAAATGGTCACATAGGAATGTATATAGGGGTATTACGGTACTTTAATTTGGAATCTGTTCAAAATGGACCACTTTTAATCTATGAAAACTCGCGAGTTTAGCTACTTGACACCAAGTTATCCTGGATGTTATTGCATATCAATTGTTTTATTATACATGTATATTTACCAGAAAGATAGATTATCACATTAAGTTGCATTGCCAACGAACACAAAGAATACGGATTGAAGAAAAAGTAGGGCAAATATAAAGTAAACAAGTATATTATGGTAAACTGGCATCTGATCTGCTATTAAAATAAGTATGACTTAGAAGTAGGTAGCAAGTAAAGCTTATAGAAGCGTGTGAAATTACACTCAGACAGGGATGGCTTAAGGACAAAAGTATTTTTATTTAAATCGTTTTCACTAAATTCCTCTGAACGGCTATGATCTGTAGTCCTCCACATGAATTATTTTTTCTAATAATTCACTATGACAGTGAATTTTTATAACCGATTGTGATGAATTTGGGTATCTAATGACGAATTTTAGAATAACTTTTTTATACGAATATCGGTTTATCTATGTGTATATCTTATACAGGGTAATAAAAAATGCTACCTTTCCGAGATACAGGTCATTATAATTTCAACATCTTGAAACACTTATATCACACAACAAATTTCCTACAAGTATACTAGTCAAACGTATAAATTTGCATCAATTTATTATCAAGTAACTTGTTGATTTTTAATGTCTACAAACCTATGGATTTGTAGCCTTAGTTGATGTATGATCCATAACATTAATTCAATTTTTTATATTTTATATGTTCAAATTTTGCAGGAATAACATTATAAAGTTTTTAGCATAGAAAGTAGAATGCTCTTCAGCTGATAGTTTTATTTAGTCTAGGAATTAGTGCAGATGTTTCTTTGAATCGCGTT